TATTATTATTATTATCTCTCACCGGCAAGATATCTCCCCTTTTTTCTGGCCACTGACCTGGGGCTGGTTGACCAGGTATCGGCACAGTTCCCCGATGTATTGGAAGACGGTCACTCCGTAGCGTCGGCAGTCCGGCCAAAACTGGCTGGCGGAGAACTTCGGCTTCAGCACGCAAGTGGCGCCTGGTCGGAGAAGGGGAATATTCAGACCAACGTTTCCATTTCGGCCTCCCTTCCGAGTCCCCAAACCCCAACGCCCTTGCAAGACGGCACCCTACCGATGCCGAAAGTGCCGAGGATCCCCAAGAGGCTCCCGGACATGTGATAGAGGGGCAGAGAGACGTAGATCACGTCCGAGCTGGAGGCCCCCACCAAACTGTAGAAGCCCAAGCAGAGGATGGTCTTCAGGTGGCTGACGCGAGCCGCTTTGGGAAGTCCTGGGAAGGGAGAAAGAGATCATATTGGCCATTACGACAAACGTTGGCTTTCACACGCGGGCAATACCATCCTAGATTGTATGTGTTTCCTCCACCACAGACATCCCAGCATTTGGTTACATAATAAGGAGTACCTGTCAAATTTGGTTACATAATAAGGCCGTGATGGCGAACCTATGACTGATTGACTTTGCAAACTTCATGGCTAGTGGAGTGTATATGCCCCTGGAATAATGTCCAGGGTGAGAGAAAGAACCTTTTAGCATTGAGTAGCCATGCAGGTGCAAAGTCAATCAGTGAGGGTGTTTGGAGCAAGTATGGATGTTGCAATTGGTGAGCTTGAATAGCATTGAGTAGCCTTGCAGATGCAAAATCAATCAGTGAGGGTGTTTGGAGGAAATATGGATGTTGCAATTGGTGAGCTTGAATAGCATTGAGTAGCCTTGCAGATGCAAAGTCAATCAGTGAGGGTGTTTGGAGCAAGTATGGATGTTGCAATTGGTGAGCTTGAATAGCATTGAGTAGCCTTGCAGGGTGCAAAGTCAATCAGTGAGGGTGTTTGGAGCAAGTATGGATGTTGCAATTGGTGAGCTTGAATAGCATTGAGTAGCCTTGCAGGTGCAAAGTCAATCAGTGAGGGTGTTTGGAGCAAGTATGGATGTTGCAATTGGTGAGCTTGAATAGCATTGAGTAGCCTTGCAGGTGCAAAGTCAATCAGTGAGGGTGTTTGGAGCAAGTATGGATGTTGCAATTGGTGAGCTTGAATAGCATTGAGTAGCCTTGCAGGTGCAAAGTCAATCAGTGAGGGTGTTTGGAGCAAGTATGGATGTTGCAATTGGTGAGCTTGAATAGCATTGAGTAGCCTTGCAGGTGCAAAGTCAATCAGTGAGGGTGTTTGGAGCAAGTATGGATGTTGCAATTGGTGAGCTTGAATAGCATTGAGTAGCCTTGCAGGTGCAAAGTCAATCAGTGAGGGTGTTTGGAGCAAGTATGGATGTTGCAATTGGTGAGCTTGAATAGCATTGAGTAGCCTTGCAGGTGCAAAGTCAATCAGTGAGGGTGTTTGGAGCAAGTATGGATGTTGCAATTGGTGAGCTTGAATAGCATTGAGTAGCCTTGCGGGTGCAAAGTCAATCAGTGAGGGTGTTTGGAGCAAGTATGGATGTTGCAATTGGTGAGCTTGAATAGCATTGAGTAGCCTTGCAGGTGCAAAGTCAATCAGTGAGGGTGTTTGGAGCAAGTATGGATGTTGCAATTGGTGAGCTTGAATAGCATTGAGTAGCCTTGCAGGTGCAAAGTCAATCAGTGAGGGTGTTTGGAGCAAGTATGGATGTTGCAATTGGTGAGCTTGAATAGCATTGAGTAGCCTTGCAGGTGCAAAGTCAATCAGTGAGGGTGTTTGGAGCAAGTATGGATGTTGCAATTGGTGAGCTTGAATAGCATTGAGTAGCCTTGCAGGTGCAAAGTCAATCAGTGAGGGTGTTTGGAGCAAGTATGGATGTTGCAATTGGTGAGCTTGAATAGCATTGAGTAGCCTTGCAGGTGCAAAGTCAATCAGTGAGGGTGTTTGGAGCAAGTATGGATGTTGCAATTGGTGAGCTTGAATAGCATTGAGTAGCCTTGCAGGTGCAAAGTCAATCAGTGAGGGTGTTTGGAGCAAGTATGGATGTTGCAATTGGTGAGCTTGAATAGCATTGAGTAGCCTTGCAGGTGCAAAGTCAATCAGTGAGGGTGTTTGGAGCAAGTATGGATGTTGCAATTGGTGAGCTTGAATAGCATTGAGTAGCCTTGCAGGTGCAAAGTCAATCAGTGAGGGTGTTTGGAGCAAGTATGGATGTTGCAATTGGTGAGCTTGAATAGCATTGAGTAGCCTTGCGGGTGCAAAGTCAATCAGTGAGGGTGTTTGGAGCAAGTATGGATGTTGCAATTGGTGAGCTTGAATAGCATTGAGTAGCCTTGCAGGTGCAAAGTCAATCAGTGAGGGTGTTTGGAGCAAGTATGGATGTTGCAATTGGTGAGCTTGAATAGCATTGAGTAGCCTTGCAGGTGCAAAGTCAATCAGTGAGGGTGTTTGGAGCAAGTATGGATGTTGCAATTGGTGAGCTTGAATAGCATTGAGTAGCCTTGCAGGTGCAAAGTCAATCAGTGAGGGTGTTTGGAGCAAGTATGGATGTTGCAATTGGTGAGCTTGAATAGCATTGAGTAGCCTTGCGGGTGCAAAGTCAATCAGTGAGGGTGTTTGGAGCAAGTATGGATGTTGCAATTGGTGAGCTTGAATAGCATTGAGTAGCCTTGCAGGTGCAAAGTCAATCAGTGAGGGTGTTTGGAGCAAGTATGGATGTTGCAATTGGTGAGCTTGAATAGCATTGAGTAGCCTTGCAGGTGCAAAGTCAATCAGTGAGGGTGTTTGGAGCAAGTATGGATGTTGCAATTGGTGAGCTTGAATAGCATTGAGTAGCCTTGCAGGTGCAAAGTCAATCAGTGAGGGTGTTTGGAGCAAGTATGGATGTTGCAATTGGTGAGCTTGAATAGCATTGAGTAGCCTTGCAGGTGCAAAGTCAATCAGTGAGGGTGTTTGGAGCAAGTATGGATGTTGCAATTGGTGAGCTTGAATAGCATTGAGTAGCCTTGCAGATGCAAAGTCAATCAGTGAGGGTGTTTGGAGGAAGTGTCGATGTAGCAATTGACAAGCTGTACTGACACGCGTAGCCATTTCTACTGACACGCGCCCGCCGGATATTATTTGTTTATTTATTTTATGCCATTTTAAAAAAATAAATAAGAAAGAAATTATTATTTTGCAATGTTACCTAAATATTAAGGAGTTTCATATTTAAACGGAATGATAAATACCATTACTTTGCTATATTATTCCAATATTAAAATGCATTAAATTAAATGTCAAATTTAAAAAATATTTAATTATTAATATTTAGGTAACATTGCAAAATAATATTGGTTTATTTAATTATTAAGTAAACGAATATTATTTTGCATTGTTTCCTAAATATTAAGGAGTTACATATTTAAATTAAATTAAATGATAAATAATACTTTGCTATATTACTCAAATATTTCAGAATGCCTTAAATGAAATGGTAAATTGAATTTTAATTTGACATTTAATTTAATGCATTTTAATTTAATGCATTTTAATATTTTTAATATATGCCTTTATATATATATATATATGCCTTAAATGAAATGGTAAATTAAATATCAAAATATTATTTTGCAATGTTACTTTATTGTTATTGCATTATTATTATTATTATTATTATTATTATTATTATTAGAAATACATTAAATATTAGAAATACATTAAATAGCATATTATTATTATTATTATTATTATTATTATTAGAAATACATTAAATAGCATATTATTATTATTATTATTATTATTAGAAATACATTAAATAGCATATTATTATTATTATTATTATTATTAGAAATACATTAAATAGCATATTATTATTATTATTATTATTAGAAATACATTAAATAGCATATTATTATTATTATTATTATTAGAAATACATTAAATAGCATATTATTATTATTATTATTATTAGAAATACATTAAATAGCATATTATTATTATTATTATTATTATTAGAAATACATTAAATAGCATATTATTATTATTATTATTAGAAATACATTAAATAGCATATTATTATTATTATTATTATTATTAGAAATACATTAAATAGCATATTATTATTATTATTATTATTAGAAATACATTAAATAGCATATTATTATTATTATTATTATTAGAAATACATTAAATAGCATATTATTATTATTATTATTATTAGAAATACATTAAATAGCATATTATTATTATTATTATTATTATTATTAGAAATACATTAAATAGCATATTATTATTATTATTATTATTATTAGAAATACATTAAATAGCATATTATTATTATTATTATTATTAGAAATACATTAAATAGCATATTATTATTATTATTAGAAATACATTAAATAGCATATTATTATTATTATTAGAAATACATTAAATAGCATATTATTATTATTATTATTATTATTAGAAATACATTAAATAGCATATTATTATTATTATTATTATTAGAAATACATTAAATAGCATATTATTATTATTATTATTATTATTATTATTATATTATTATTATTATTAGAAATACATTAAATAGCATATTATTATTATTATTATTATTAGAAATACATTAAATAGCATATTATTATTATTATTATTATTATTATTAGAAATACATTAAATAGCATATTATTATTATTATTATTATTAGAAATACATTAAATAGCATATTATTATTATTATTATTAGAAATACATTAAATAGCATATTATTATTATTATTATTATTATTAGAAATACATTAAATAGCATATTATTATTATTATTATTATTAGAAATACATTAAATAGCATATTATTATTATTATTATTATTATTATTAGAAATACATTAAATAGCATATTATTATTATTATTATTATTAGAAATACATTAAATAGCATATTATTATTATTATTATTATTAGAAATACATTAAATAGCATATTATTATTATTATTATTATTAGAAATACATTAAATAGCATATTATTATTATTATTATTATTAGAAATACATTAAATAGCATATTATTATTATTATTATTATTAGAAATACATTAAATAGCATATTATTATTATTATTATTATTAGAAATACATTAAATAGCATATTATTATTATTATTATTATTATTATTAGAAATACATTAAATAGCATATTATTATTATTATTATTATTATTATTAGAAATACATTAAATAGCATATTATTATTATTATTATTATTATTAGAAATACATTAAATAGCATATTATTATTATTATTATTATTAGAAATACATTAAATAGCATATTATTATTATTATTATTATTATTATTAGAAATACATTAAATAGCATACTGTTTATTATTAATAAATATTATTTAGAATTTCAATGGCAATGTTATATATATATATATATGTATATATACTATTGAAATGGGAATATTGTACTATTTATTATTTAATATTATTTAGAATTTAAATGGAAATAGCATATTTATTATTATTATTATTTAATATTATATAGAATTTAAATGGGAATAGTATACTGTTTATTATTATATATTATTATTATTATTGAAATTGGAATATTATATTTATTTATTATTAAATATTATTTAGAATTTAAATGGGAATTGTATACTGTTTAATATATTATTATTATTATTATTGAAATTGGAATATTATATTTATTATTATTATTAAATATTATTTAGCATATTATTATTATTATTATTATTAGAAATACATTAAATAGCATATTATTATTATTATTATTATTATTAGAAATACATTAAATAGCATATTATTATTATTATTATTATTATTATTATTATTAGAAATACATTAAATAGCATATTAAATGCTAGAAATGCATTTAAATTAAATTAAAAATAGATAATATTTTGTTGGGTTTTTAAAATTATATATTTTTTAAACCCTCCAAAAAGGATATTATTATTGACATCAAGAGAGAGAGGTAGAACAACATGATAAGAGAGAAAGTGGGAATTACAATTATATATTTTTTGTTATTTAAACTAAATACAGGGTTAGTCAAAATGAATAGGCCAATATTCATTATTCATTATTCATTATTGGCCTATTCATTTTGACTAACCCTGTATTGCGAAATTATGGTTTTTTTCTTGAAGTGACACACCACCTGAATTATGCTCAGTTTTTTGGCAATTATGCTCAATTATGCTCAATTTTGACAAAATTTTTGGCGAATTTTGAGGTTGCCCATCACTGTCATGAGGAGTACCTGTCGTCCCGGAGGTGAAGATGTAGAGCGCCGTGTCCATCAAGCTTCTGGGGGTGGAAAGGTCGGCCGGCACCGGCTCCTCGGAGGCTTCTTGCCACAGACGGTAGAGGCTGGTCACTCCGGGGGGATACGGCCCCTTGCCCAAGGCCCACACTACAACTCCCATCTCCTCCAAATCAGGAAGAATGGGCTCCACGGCTTCAATGAGGTCTGCAAAGCAGCAGAGGAAGAGGAAGTCAGTATTTCTGTATTTATTAGGCCTGGGCGGTTTCGTTCGTTAATTTTGCAATTCGTTAAATATTCGTTAATTTTAGCAATTACAAAACGATTACAAAACTTATTTTTAAACCCGGAAGTGTTTTTAAATATCGAAACGGCATGCGCCAAATAGTTTTGTATTTCCGTCCATTTCGGAAATACGTAAGATGGCTAGATGCTTGCTGGGAGCTCTCCTCTCTCTCCTCTCCTTAGCCAGTCAGAGCCTGAAAGAGGAGGAGGAGGAGGAGGAGGAGGAGGAGGAGAGGGCGGGGAAGGCGAGCGACCCTCAGCGGGAAGGCGGCCCGTCCCTCCTTCCTCACCTTTGCGGTGGGTGTGCTTCGTTCTCCCAATTCCGCACTGAAACCTTAGCGGAGGGCTGGGCTAGATGGCCTTTGGGGAGCCCTTCTCCCAATTTCGCATTGAGACCATAGCAGAGGGCGGGACTAGATGGCCTTTGGGGAGCCCCTTCTCCCAATTCCACATTGAAACTTTAGCAGAGGGCGGGACTAGATGGCCTTTGGGGAGCCCCTTCTCCCAATTCGCATTGAGACCATAGCAGAGGGCTGGACTAGATGGCCTTTGGGGAGCCCCTTCCTCCAATTCCGCATTCAAACCTTAGCAGAGGGCTGGACTAGATGGCCTTTGGGGAGCCCCTTCTCCCAATTCCGCATTGAAACCTTAGGAGGGGGCTGGACTAGATGGCCTTTGGGGAGCCCCTTCCTCCAATTCCGCATTCAAACCTTAGCAGAGGGCTGGACTAGATGGCCTTTGGGGAGCCCCTTCTCCCAATTCCACATTGAAACCTTAGGAGGGGGCTGGACTAGATGGCCTTTGGGGAGCCCCTTCCTCCAATTCCGCATTGAAACCTTAGCAGAGGGCTGGACTAGATGGCCTTTGGGGAGCCCCTTCTCCCAATTCCGCATTGAAACCTTAGGAGGGGGCTGGACTAGATGGCCTTTGGGGAGCCCCTTCCTCCAATTCCGCATTGAAACCTTAGGAGGGGGCTGGACTAGATGGCCTTTGGGGAGCCCTTCTCCCAATTTCGCATTGAGACCATAGCAGAGGGCGGGACTAGATGGCCTTTGGGGAGCCCCTTCTCCCAATTCCACATTGAAACCTTAGGAGGGAGCTGGACTAGATGGCCTTTGGGGAGCCCCTTCCTCCAATTCCGCATTCAAACCTTAGCAGAGGGCTGGACTGATGGCCTTTGGGGAGCCCCTTCTCCCAATTCCACATTGAAACTTTAGCAGAGGGCTGGAATGTATGGCCTTTGGGGACCCTTCTCCCAATTCCGCATTGAAACCTTAGGAGGGGGCTGGACTAGATGGCCTTTGGGGAGCCCCTTCTCCCAATTCCACATTGAAACTTTAGCAGAGGGCTGGAATGTATGGCCTTTGGGGAGCCCCTTCTCCCAATTCCGCATTGAAACCTTAGGAGGGGGCTGGACTAGATGGCCTTTGGGGAGCCCCTTTTTGGTCCAAAAAATAGGCCGGGTAAGGGGTTTGCGGAAACTTGCTGGAGCGGTTCTTCCTTCCCGTGTTATTTCGGCATGCCCAAGAACGAGACAATATTGTGTTTGTGTTTCAGGATCAGGGTGCTTTGGACGATGTTAATGAGGTTCAAGATGAGTTTCAAGATGGCAATGGTTTGGTCAGTGATATTGATGCAGAGAACGACCAGGAGATCCTTGTAGTTTCCCATGAGAATGTCCCTGAGGGGTGTGGGGATGATGGTGTGCTTTCTGAATTGTTTCCAGAGAATTCCCATGAGAGAAAACTTGAAAACAGCTCGGCCCAGCTGCAGAAATTAATGAACAAATAGATAGATGGGAGATCAGTCCAAACAGGAGAGCCGAGCAGTGGCTTCGGCGGTCTGCCGGACTCCAAGAGAAAAAGATAACCAATTCTCAGCTAAAGCGAAACCAATTTCTGAGCGCTAGTGACATAGCTAACAAGGAGATAAAAGTCCGAAATGCGGGATATGTAGTCAGATGAAGCATCATTTGGAATCAGGCTAAGTTCTTGAATTTTATGATTGTATACTCATGCCTTGGATTAATGTTTCCTGATTTTCTGGGTTATATTAGAGAACTGTGGACTTTTGTTTGTATGGACTTTGCTGAACTTTACTCTGGACTGTTTTGCTTCTGCTTATCTTCTTACCTAATTGGATTTACCTATTCCTTTAAAGTGCTTTCTACTTTGCTGCTTTTTAATTATCTTCAATAAAAGGATGAAGCATCATTTGGAATCAGGCTAAGTTCTCGTCCTTGTTTCATGGAAGTCTTGCTTGGAAGATTCATGCTTATATACTTCTAGTTTCATGGATTTGGTTCTTGAATTTTATGATTGTATACTCAGGCCTTGGATTAATGTTTCCTGATTTTCTGGAATATATTAGAGAAGTGTGGACTTTTGTTTTTATGGACTTTGCTGAACTTTACCCTGGACTATTTTGCTCCTGCTTATCTTCTTACCTAATTGGATTTACCTATTTCTTTAAAGTGCTTTCTACTTTGCTGCTTTGCTGCTTATCTTCTTACCTAATTGGATTTACCTATTCCTTTAAAGTGCTTTCTACTTTGCTGCTTATCTTCTTACCTAATTGGATTTGCCTATTCCTTTAAAGCACTTTCTACTTGGCTGCTTATCTCCTGCTTATCTTCTTACCTAATTGGATTTACCTATTCCTTTAAAGTGCTTTCTACTTTGCTGCTTATCTTCTTACCTAATTGGATTTGCCTATTCCTTTAAAGCACTTTCTACTTGGCTGCTTATCTCCTGCTTATCTTCTTACCTAATTGGATTTACCTATTTCTTTAAAGTGCTTTCTACTTGGCTGCTTTTTAATTATCTTCAATAAAAGGATGAAGCATCATTTGGATTCAGACTAAGTTTTCGTCCTTGTTTCACAGAAGTCTTGGTTGGAAGATTTATGCTTATATTCTTCCTGTTTCATGGATTTGGTTCTTGAATTTTATGATTGTATACTCATGTCTTGGATTAATGTTTCCTGATTTTCTGGATTATATTAGAGAAGTGTGAACTTTTGTTTTTATGGACTTTGCTGAACTTTACTCTGGACTATTTTGCTCCTGCTTATCTTCTTACCTAATTGGATTTAACTATTTCTTTAAAGTGCTTTCTACTTTGCTGCTTATCTCCTGCTTATCTTCTTACCTAATTGGATTTACCTATTTCTTTAAAGTGCTTTCTACTTTGCTGCTTATCTCCTTACCTAATTGGATTCACCTATTTCTTTAAAGTGCTTTCCACTTTGCTGCTTATCTCCTGCTTATCTTCTTACCTAATTGGATTTACCTACTTCTTCAAAGTGCTTTCTACTTTGCTGCTTATCTCTTGCTTATCTTCTTACCTAATTGGATTTACCTATTTCTTTAAAGTGCTATCTACTTTGCTGCTTATCTCCTGCTTATCTTCTTACCTAATTGGATTTACCTATTTCTTTAAAGTGCTTTCTACTTTGCTGCTTATCTCCTGCTTATCTTCTTACCTTATTGGATTTACCTATTCCTTTAAAGTGCTTTCTACTTTGCTGCTTATCTCCTGCTTATCTTCTTACCTAATTGGATTTACCTATTTCTTTAAAGTGCTTTCTACTTTGCTGCTTATCTCCTGCTTATCTTCTTACCTAATTGGATTTACCTATTCCTTTAAAGTGCTTTCTACTTTGCTGCTTATCTCCTGCTTATCTTCTTACCTAATTGGATTTACCTATTCCTTTAAAGTGCTTTCTACTTTGCTGCTTTTTAAGTATCTTCAATAAAAGGATTGTTTTCCAATCAACGATGTGGTGTTTAAAGTCAGAGGGCTTTTTCCTGTCCTGGAATGCAACAATCCCCAACTCTGGATTTTAGTTGGACAGTGTTTGGTCTGAGATTGACACCAAAAGGTAGCTGAGATGGTTTGGAACCGCTCTCCCTTTAGACATTACTTTGGCGTCCGGTACCAACTGGTTTGGAGCACACAAACCAGTTTCCTTGACTCTGATATACCAGTTGGATGTGCTTCGAAACCAACCAGTTTGCCTGAGGCCAACGCTGGGCCTCTCCAAGGGTTTCCTTTGCATGTTTTGGCCCACGGCACCAAACCGTCTGTTGCAAAACAGCAACCCAAGAAGGAGCCACTTTCCGTGGCTGTGGGACTTTTGGATGTTGGTCAGAGATGCTTTGGTTTGCATGAGACCAGCCTTCTTCCCCGTCTCGGCTGACCAAAGACGGCCCCAAACTCGGGGCCATTAGTCACACTCGGGCGCTCCCAGCTGGGCCTCCGACTCCGTCATCGGTGACCCAGTTTGATCCCCGTTTGCACGACATTCGGGGCCATCACAAAGGCGCTTTCCGGTTCGTTGGGATCTTGGAGAGAGCGGGGAAGCCAGCTTCAGGATGCGGGGCGGCAATTAAGCTTTTCAAAGCGGAGAGCGCTGGGAAGAGCGGCGAGAAAAAGCCTGCGATGTCAACAAAGCCGGGCCGAAAGCATTCCCACCAAAGGCAGCAACGTTTCAGAACAGATTCCCAAAAAGCAAAGAGGTCACCATTGACCACCAGCAGAAGGATGATGATGGTGGTGATGATGATCTCCAAAACTACCATACTTTGGGTTGCTGTGAGTTTTTCGGGCTGTATGGCCATGTTCCAGTAGCACTAAAAAGCCATGAAGTTTGCAAAGTCAATCAGTGAGGGTGTCAGCATAGAAGTAGCCTGGCTGTTGTTGCCTGGAGGCACCCTCAGTGGAATGATGCTCAGGGTGGGAAGAAGAACCTTTGTCTGTTTACAGCAAATGTGGATGTTGCAATGAGCAAACTTGAATAGCATTGTGTAGTCATGGAGTTTGCAAAGTCAATCAGTGAGGGTGTCTGCATAGAGGTAGCCTGGCTGTTGTTGCCTGGCAGCACCTTCTATGGAGTGATGTCCAGGATGGGAAAAAGAAGCCTTTTCTGTTTGATGCAAGCGTGAATGTTGCAGTGTGCAAGCTTGAGTAGCATGGAGTAGCCATGAAGTTTGCAAAGTCAATCAGTGAGGATTTCTGCATAGCAGTAGCCTGGCTGCTGTTGCCTGGAGGCGCCCAGAGTGGGAGAAAGAACTTTTGTCTGTTTGAAGCCAGCGTGAATATCGCAATCGGCAAGCTTGATTAGGATTGAGTAGCCATGAAGTTTGCAAAGTCCATCAGTGAGGGTATTTGCACAGAGGTGGCCTGGCTGTTGCTGCCTGGAGGCGTCCTCTGTGGAATGATGTCCCGGGTGCAAATACCCTCACTGATTGACTTTACAGCTGCAAGGCTAATCAATGCTATTCAAGCTGGCCAATTGCTACATCGACACTTCCTCCAAACACCCTCACTGATTGACTTTGCATCTGCAAGGCTACTCAATGCTATTCAAGCTCGCCAATTGCAACATCAACGCTCCAAACACCCTCACTGATTGACTTTGCATCTGCAAGGCTACTCAATGCTATTCAAGCTTGCCAATTGCAACATCGACACTTGCCTCAAACACCCTCACTGATTGACTTTGCATCTGCAATGCTATTCAATACTATTCAAGCTTGTCGATTGCAACATCGACACTTGCCTCAAACACCCTCACTGATTGACTTTGCATCTGCAACGCTATTCAATGCTATTCAAGCTTGTCGATTGCAACATTCACACTTGCCTCAAACACCCTCACTGATTGACTTTGCAGCTGCATGGCTACTCAATGCTAAAAGGTTCTTTCTCTCACCCTGGACATTATTCCACGGGCATATATAAACTCCACTAGCCATGAAGTTTGCAAAGTCAATCAGTGAGGGTGTCTGCCTAGAGATAGCCTGGCTGTTGTTGCCTGGGGGCACCTTCTGTGGCAAGCATAACCTCTGGAGATGCTTTCCGCAGATGCAGGCAAAACGTCAGGAGAGAATGCTACTGGAACATGGCCACGCAGCCCGAAAAACTCAGCAAGCCAGTGATTCCAGCCACGAAAGCCTCTGACAACGCACACTGGCACACGTTCTTATTCTTTCTCAGGCCATGGGAGATGTTACCATTGTTTCCTTTGCGATTACGTGGAATCTGTTTGGATAACGTGAACGCAAAACAAGACCTTGTGCCGCCGAACCTTCGGAAAGCAAAGGCAAGAGTGTCTCAATTGCAAACGTCGGCCGTTTGGGACATTTCAGAGATGGGAGGCCACCACGGCACGTTCGGATTCTGACCATCTGAGCTCAAGTGACAGAAGTTATGGGGAGGAAGCAGCTTGGATGGGGTTTCAGGAAAGGGCTGCTCTGGAAGGAGGCTTTGGGGTGCCTTTGGAAAGGGACTTTGGGGCACTTCGGGGACACTTTTGGGGAGCTTGGAAAGGGGGAAGAGACCTTTGAAAATGGACTTTTGGGGAACTGGAAGGAGGCTTTAGGGCGCTTTGGAAAGGGACTTTGGGGCACTTCGGGGACACTTTTGGGGAGCTTGGAAAGGGGGAAGAGACCTTTGAAAAGGGTCTTTTGGGGAACTTTTGGGGAGCTTTGGAAGGAGGCTTTGGAGTGCTTTGGAAAGGGACTTTTGGACACTTTTGGGGAACTTTGGAAAGGGGGGAAGAGACCTTTGAAAAGGGACTTTTGTGGAACTTTTGGGGAGCTTTGGAAGGAGGCTTCTAGGTGAGCTTTTGGGGCATTTTGGAGAGCTTTGCAAAGGGGTTTTGGGGGGAACTTTAGAGAGAGGCTTCTGGGTAAACTTTGGGATGGGAGTTTTGGGGGAGTTTTGACGTGGGGCTTCTGGGTGAGCTTTTGGGAAGCCACGCAAGGGGTCTTTTGGGGAACATTTGGGGAGTTTTGGAGAAGGCCTTTAGGTGAACTTTGGGGAGCTTTGCAAAGGGGCTTTTGGGGAGGGGCTTCTGGATGAGCTTTTGGGGAGCTTTGCCAAGGGGACTTTGGGGAGTTTTGGAGAAGGCTTCTAGGTGAGCTTTTGGGGGGGATTTGGGGGAGCTTTGCAGAGGGACTTTGGAGGGAGCTTTGGTGAGAGGTTTCTAGGTGAGTTTTTGGGGAGTCACGCAAGGGGACTTTTGGGGAACTTTTGGAGAAGGCTTCTAGGTGAGCTTTTGGAGGGATTTGGGGGCTTCTGAGTGAACTTTGGGGAGCTTTGCCAAGGGTCTTTTGGGGAGTTTTGGAGAAGGCTTCCAGGTGAGCTTTTGGGGGGATTTTGGGGAGCTTTGCAGAGAAACTTTGGCGAGGGGCTCCTGGACGTGCTTTTGGGGATCCCTGCCAGGGGACTTTGGTGATGGGCTTCTGCATGAGCTTTGGGGCTTTTGGGGAGGGGCTTCTGGATGACCTTTTGGGGAGCCCTGCAAGGGGAACTTTTGGGGAGTTTTGGAGAAGGCTTCTAGGTGAAGTTTTGGGGGAGATTTGGGGGCTTCTGGGTGAACTTTGGGCAGCTTTTCCAAGGGTCTTTTCGGGAGTTTTGGAGAAGGCTTCCAGGTGAGCTTTTGGGGGGATTTTGGGGAGCTTTGCAGAGAAACTTTGGCGAGGGGCTCCTGGACGTGCTTTTGGGGATCCCTGCCAGGGGACTTTGGTGATGTTGGAGAAGGCTTACAGGTGAGGTTTTGGAGGAGATTTTGGGGAGCTTTGGCAAGGGTCTTTTGGGGAGTTTTGGAGAAGGCTTCCAGGTGAGCTTTTGGGGGGATTTTGGGGAGCTTTGCAGAGAAACTTTGGCGAGGGGCTCCTGGACGTGCTTTTGGGGATCCCTGCCAGGGGACTTTGGTGATGGGCTTCTGCATGAGCTTTGGGACTTTTGGGGAGGGGGTTCTGGATGACCTTTTGGGGAGCCCTGGAAGGGGAACTTTTGGGGAGTTTTAGAGAAGGCTTCCAGGTGAGCTTTTTGGGGGGGGGGTATTTTGGGGAGCTTTGCAGAGGGACTTCTGGATGACCTTTTGGGGATCCCTGCCAGGGGACTTTGGGAGAGTTTTGGAGAAGGCTTCCAGGTGAGTTTTTGGGGGGGATTTTGGGGAGCTTTGCAGGGGGACTTTGTGGGGAGCATTGGCCCAGGGCTTCTAGAGGAGCTTTGGGGGAGCCATGCAAAGGGGCTTTTGGGGAGGGGCTTCTGGATGAACTTTGGGGAGCTTTTCCAAGGGGCTTTGGGGGAGTTTTGGAGAAGGCTTTCAGGTGAGTTTTTGGGAGGGATTTTGGGGAGCTTTGCAGAGGGAGTTTGGGTGTCCTGGGTGAGATTTTGGGGAGCCATGCAAGGGGACTTTTGGGGGAGTTTTGGAGAAGGCTTACAGGTGAGGTTTTGGAGGAGATTTTGGGGAGCTTTGGCAAGGGTCTTTTGGGGAGTTTTGGAGAAGGCTTCTAGGTGAGCTTTTGGAAGGATTTGGGGGCTTCTGGGTGAACTTTGTGGGAGTTTTGGAGAAGGCGTCCAGGTGAGTTTTTTTGGGGGGGGGGGTTTTTGGGAAGCTTTGCAGGGGGACTTTGTGGGGAGCATTGGCCCAGGGCTTCTAGAGGAGCTTTGGGGGAGCCATGCAAAGGGGCTTTTGGGGAGGGGTTCTGGGTGAACTTTGGGGAGCTTTGCCAAGGGGACTTTGGGGGAGTTTTGGAGAAGGCTTCCAGGTGAGCTTTTGGAAGGATTTGGGGGCTTCTGGGAGAACTTTGGGGGTTTTGGAGAAGGCTTCCAGGTGAGGTTTTGGAGGAGATTTCGGGGAGCTTTGCAGAGGGACTTTGGGAGACATTTTGGTGAGGGGCTTCTGGGTGGGTGAGCTTTTGGGGAGCCATACAAGGGGCCTTTTGGAGAACTTTTGGGGAGTTTGGAGAAGGCACCTAGGTGAGCTTTGGGGTGCCCTTTGGGGAGCTTTGCAAAGGGACTTTGTGGGGAGCTTTGGCGAGGGGCTCCTGGGCGAGCTTTTGGGGCTCCCTGCCAGGGGTCTTTGGGGGGGGAGGGTCTCGGGGTCTCGGTGTCACTCACCCTCTCCGAGCAGGAGGGCGCGGGCGGCGCATGCGCGGAGGCAGTGGAGGAGCGCCCCTTTCCGGAGCGCGGTGCCGAGGAAGGCGGGCACCCAGCCCAGCTTGGCGGCCCCGATCCATGCCCAGAGGAAGGCGGGCGCGTTGCCCATCCAGAGCGCCACCACCACCGCCTCCGCCTCCGCCTGGCCGGGGAGGAGACCCTTCCCCTCTGCCGCCGCCTTGCTGAGCGCCTGGGCGGCCCGGTTGGTGTGTGCCTCTGCCTGGGCGTAGGTGAAGCTTTGCTCCCCGGCGCGGAGGAAGACCTTCCCGGGGGGCCGGGCCGAGGCGAGGGTCCCGAAGCGCTGGGCCAGGCTGCGGGGGTCTCGGCCGAGGAGGCTCCTCTGGCAGCGCCAGGCCCGGAAGAGGAAGGCCAGGTCGGCCAGCAAGAAGGGATTCCTCCGGTGAAGGAGAACGAAGAAGGAGGAGGAGAGCAACAAGAAGAAGAGCAGCAGCGCCCAAGCCATTTTCCTCCTCCTTTGCTGCTCCTTGGAGGGGGAAAGAGGGGCGAGGAGGAGGGGAGGAAGGGGAGAGGGAGGGAGGAAGGAAGGAAGGAAGGGGGCCTGGCCATCCGTGGGGCCGCCCCTTGGCCCCCAAAGGAAAGAGGCGGGCGGAGGAGAGCCGTGCGTAAAAGCATCCAGGCGCACGGAGGGAGGAGGAGGAGGAGGAGTTGGGCAACAAAGCCGCCTGATGGGAGTCCAAGTTGGCCAACTTCGAAGGGTTTCTCTATGGGGGGAGACCCACCACACCCTCCTGCCCCTCTTCGCCAAAGCAGGGGGTTCTGGGAGTTGTAGTTCGAAGGGAAAAACAAAGGAAAGGAACTCTCCAAAGTTGGGAGTTTGGCGTAAAAGCATCAAGTCGCACGGAGGGAGGAGGAGGAGTTGGGCAACAAAGCCGCCTGATGGGAGTCGAAGTTGGCCAACTTCGAAGGGTTTCTCTATGGGGGGAGACCCACCACACCCTCCTGCCCCTCTTCGCCAAAGCAGGGGGTTCTGGGAGTTGTAGTTCGAAGGGAAAAACAAAGGAAAGGAACTCTCCAAAGTTGGGAGTTTGGCGTAAAAGCATCAAGTCGCACGGAGGGAGGAGGAGGAGTTGGGCAACAAAGCCGCCTGATGGGAGTCGAAGTTGGCCAACTTCGAAGGGTTTCTCTATGGGGGGAGACCCACCACACCCTCCTGCCCCTCTTCGCCAAAGCAGGGGGTTCTGGGAGTTGTAGTTCGAAGGGAAAAACAAAGGAAAGGAACTCTCCAAAGTTGGGAGTTTTGCGCTCCAAGGCGCACCCAGCTCGAATTGGGAGAGAAAAAGTTTGGTAAAGTTAGAGACAAGGAGCCAAGTTGGGGGTTCTTTTTCCCCTTCTGAAGGGACTCTTTAAGCACCAGTATCCACTTACTTCCTTTCCCCAAAGGATAGGGGATTCTGGGAGTTGTAGTCCAAGGGGAAAGGAAGGAAACTTCAAAGTTGGGAGTTTTGCGCTCCAAGGCGCACTCAGCTCGAGTTGGGAGATAAATAGTTTGGTAAAGTTAGAGACAGGAAACCAGGTTGAGGTTCCTTTTCCCCCTTCTGAAGGACCAGTATCCACTTCCCTCCTTTCCCCAAAGGAGAGGGGATTCTGGGAGTTGTAGTCTAAGGGGAAATGAAGGAAACTTCAAAGTTAGTCAGATGTTTTGCGCTCCAAGGCACACCAAGCTCAAATTGGAGAGAAATAGTTTAGTAAAGTTAGAAATAAGAAGCCAAGTTGGAGCTTCTTTTCCCCTTCTGAAGGGACTCTAAGGACCAGTATCCACTTCCTTCCTTTCTCCAAAGGAGAGGGGATTCTGGGAGTTGTAGTTTAAAGGGAAACGAAGGAAACTTCAAAGTTTCTGGGATGTTTTGCGCTCCAAGGCGCACCAAGCTCGAGTTGGAGAGAAATCGTTTGGCAAAGTTAGAGATAAGAAGCCAAGTTGAGGTTCCTTTTCCCCTTCTGAAGGGACACTTTAAGGACCAGTATCCACTTCCCTCCTTTTCCCAAAGGATAGGGGATTCTGGGAGTTGTAGTCCAAGGGGAAAACGGGGGATAAAAACTCTCCAAAGTTACTCCTTGGGAGTTTTGAGCTCCAAGGCGCACCCAGCTCAAGTTGGAGAGAAATAGTTTGGCAGATAAGTTGGGATTTTCCCCTCTTCTGAAGGGATTCTTAAGGACCAGTATCCTCTTCCCTCCTTTCTCCGAAAGGTAGGGGATTCTGGGAGTTGTAGTCGAATGGGAAACGAAGCAAACTTCCTCTCCAAAGTACCTTGGATGCTTTGCGCTCCAAGGCGCACCAAGCTTTAGTTGGAGAGAAATAGTTTGGTAAATAGAGTTAGAGATGGGAAGCCAAGTTGGATTATTTTTCCCTTCTAAAGGGATTTGTATATCTGTGGAATGGTGTCCAGGGTGGGAGAAAGAACTCTTGTCTGTTGGAGGCAAGTGGGAATATTACCACTGGCCAGCTTGATTAACATCGAATGGCCTTGCAGGTTCAAAGTCTGGCTGGTTCCATGTTGGAAACTGGCAAGTGCAGTTTATATATCTGTGGAATGTCCAGATGGAAGAAGATATATCCACAGATACATAAACTCCATTTTCCTCCTTTCCAACAGACCTCACAACCTCTGAGGATACTGACCATAGATGCGGGAGGAACGTCAGGAGAGAATGCTACTGGAAAACTCACAGCAATCCAGTGATTCAGGCCATGAAAGCCTTCGACAATACAGTGTAGACCAGGCATGGGCAAACTTTGGCCCTCCAGGTGTTTTGGACTTCAACTCCCCCAATTCCTAACAGCCTACCAAAAATATAAAATTGTATTGTTTTCCTCACATAATAGTCGCACCTCTGTTTGAGAATGATTCTTCCTTCCTTTTTTCTCTGAAGGCAAGGTAGTTAAAAACTACAAAATGGGGGTCTCTGGAGCTCCATTCTTCTCTCCTTTCTCCTTTCTCCAAAGCCTCAAGTCGGTTTGAAAAAAATCTGAAAATGGGAGTCTCTGGAACTTGGATCTTCCTCCAAAGCATTCAATTCCAGCAGCTTGGGGGGGGGGGGGGGGGGGGGGGGGGGGGAAGGAAGGGTCCTTAGGCTGTTAGGAATTGTGGGAGTTGAAATCCAAAACACCTGGAGGACCGAACTTTGCCCATGCCTGGTGTAGACCCAGATAATCCAGTTCAAAGCAGATACACTGGAGTTTAAGTGGCTGTGTAGATGAGGCCAAATCAGATTCCTTTGCTCTTCTCTGACAATCTCCGAAAACCTTGAGATATCGAGTGTTTGGCATTCCCGAACGGATCCCTGACCTTTCCCCTACTCTTGCATCTGGTTTGAGTTTGGCTCCCTTTTCCCCCCTATTCATGGAAGCAGGAAACCGCCAAACATGAATGCCACGCATCTCCTTTTCTCCTCCTCGGCTTCTCCTCGTTCTGTTTTCGTCTTTTTTTTCCTCCCCCAATCGGAACATTCCTTCCTCGAGGCTCCGAAAAAACGGTTGCCTTTCAAGACAAGACGCGGCTCGTTTGAGCCAAAGGAATCATCCGAAAAATCCCCACCAATGTCTTCGGAAACGCCGACGTCTTCGGAAACCCCAGCCGTGGGATATCTAGTGCGATCTGCCGGGACCCACAGCGTACCTGTTGTCGTGTTTCTCCGAGTGGTCACCTGTGAAATCCGCACATATGGTATTTCCTGCACACGTGCGATTTCACAATGACCACGATGGAGAAACACCGTATTGATTAGAGTCTAATGCGCCACCGAATCTCACACCCAAATTTGAATTGTGGTGGTGATGGGGGGAGATTGATTTTGCCATGTGGGAGTTGTAGTTGCAGGGATTTATAGTTCACCTACAATCAAAGAGCATTTGGAACCCCACCAAGGATGGCATTGAACCAAACTTGGCACACAGGACTCCCATGACCAACAGAAAATACTGAAAGGGTTTGGTGGACCTTGACCTTGAGTTTGGGGGTTGTAGTTGCTGGGATTTATAGTTCACCTACAATCAAAGAGCATTTGGAACCCTGAACCAAACTTGGCACACAGGACTCCCATGACCAACAGAAAATACTGAAAGGGTTTGGTGGGCACTGACCTTGAGTTTGGGAGTTGTAGTTGCTGGGATTTATAGTTCACCTACAATCAAAGAGCATTCTGAACTCCACCAACAATGGAACTGAACCAAACTTGGCACACAGAATTCCCCTGATCAACAGAAAATCCTGGATTTGGTGGACACTGATCTTGAGTTTGGGAGTTGTAGTTCACCCAAGTTCAGAGAGCACTGTGGACCCAAACAATGATGGATCTGGATCAAACTTGGCACAAATACACAATATGCCTGAAAGTGAACACTGGTGGAGTTTGAGGGAAATAGACCTTGACATTTGGGAGTTGTAGTTGCTGGGATTTATAGTTCACCTACAATCAAAGAGCATTCTGAACTCCACCAATGATCGAACTGAACTAACTTGGTCTACAGAACTCCCATGACCAACAAAAAATACTGGATTTGATGGGCATTGACATTGAGTTTGGGAGTTGTAGTTCTTCCACATCCAGAGAGCACTGTGGACTCAAACTATGATGAATTTGGATCAAATTTGGCACAAATACTCAACATGCCCAAGTATGAACACTGGTGGAGTTTGGGGAAAATAGACCTTGACATTTGGGAGTTGAAGTTGCTGGGATTTATAGTTCACCTACAATCAAAGAGCATTCTGAACGCCACAAACGATGGAACTGAACTAACTTGGCACACAGAACTCCCATGACCAACAGAAAATACTGGATTTGATGGGAATTGACATTGAGTTTGGGAGTTGTAGTTCTCCCACATCCAGAGACCACTGTGGACTCAAACTATGCTGGATTGGGACCAAACTTGGCACAAATAGTCAACATGCCCAAGTGTGAACACTGGTGGAGTTTGGGGGAAAACAGACCTTGACATTTGGGAGTTATAGTTGCTGGGATTTATAGTTCATCTACAATCAAAGAGCATTCTGAACTCCATCAACGATGGAACTGAACTATAGTTGCTGGGATTTATAGTTCACCTACAACAAAATGTGAACACTGGTGGAGTTTGGGGAAAATAGACCTTGACATTTGGGAGTTGTAGTTGCTGGGATTTATAGTTCGCCTACAATCAAAGAGCATTCTGAACTCCACCAATGATGGAACTGAACTAACTTGGCCCACAGAACTCCCCTGACCAACAAAAAATACTGGATTTGATGGGCATTGACATTGAGTTTGGGAGTTGTAGTTCTCCCACATCCAGAGAGCACTGTGGACTCAAACAATGATGGATCTGGACCAAATTTGGCACAAATACACAATATGCCTGAAAGTGAACACTGGTGGAGTTTGGGGAAAATAGACCTTGACACTCGGGAGTTGTAGTTGCTGAGATTTATAGTTCACCTACAATCAAAGAGCATTCTGAATCCTACCAACGACAGATTTGGGGCAAAAAATGATAGATCTGCACCCAACTTGGCATGAATACACAATATGCCTGAATGTGAACACTGGTGGAGTTTGGGGGAAATAGACCTTGACATTTGGGAGTTGTAGTTGCTGGGATTTATCGTTTACCTCCAATCAAAGAGCATTCTGAACCCCACCAACAACAGATTTGAGACAAACAATGATAGATCTGCACCCAACATGGCACGAATACACAATATGCCTGAATGTACACAGTGGTGGAGTTTGGGGGAAGTAGACCTTGACATTTGAGAGTTGTAGTTGCTGGGATTTAAAGTTCACCTGCAATCAAAGAGCATTCTGAACCCCACCAACAATAGAATTGGGCCAGACTTCCCACACAGAACTACCCCCCCCCCCCCAAAGACCTTGAGTTTTGGAGTTGTAGTTTACCCCCGGCCGAAGTGCTTCCATCCCTCGTGTGCCGTCCCCCCGTTCCCCCCACAATGCCCAGAAAGACAAGACGCGACCAAGCGGCTCGTACAAAACCGTGTCGACAGTTTTATTATCGTCTCTTTCTCTCTTAAAAAAAATCACTTAGAAATGATACTTTCTCTCGGCGGGGGCGATGGGGGTTAAAAATATAACTACCGCTTTTTTCTTCTTTTTTCGCTCGTCGGTCGTTCTTAAAAGACGTCCCGAAAGTACGCTCCTCCGAGAGGAAGAAGGGAGGCTGTTTTTCCTGGGGAGCCATTTGGCCAAAACGGTGGCCGGAGAGGGAACCTGACGAGCCCGGCAGGAATGGTGGTACGGTTGGGGGGTTTTTTATTAAAAGGTGGAATAAAGTGGCAGACCTTTTTGGTGACGGTAATCGTTGTTTGGCGAAAAATGGGGTACAGAAAGCCTCGAAACGGTGAAGTTCAGAGGGATCGGGTGACGAATACCCTCCCGACGGAAAGAGATCGGAAAAGAGGGATCTAGAAAGGCAATCTGGCCCTTCCCTGCGCTTTCCCCACCCACACCAGCCCTCAACCAGAAGCGCCAATTTCAGGGCATGGTTTATTTACATTTCAGGGAAAGGAGACCAAGTGCAGGCTCTACGATGTCACTGGAGCGATTTCTGGAAAAATAACCTCTTTTTCCAAGTTTAGAAAGATGGAAGGGCAAGTCGAGGGGGGACGGGACGGAGGGGTTGTTGCGACCGCCGTTTCGGGAAAGGGGCCACCCAGACCTCCGAGGCCCGCGGGCGCCTTGCTATGGAGAACATTGTCCAGCGTCCACTCGGCCGTTCTCTCGGTTGCGGGGCGCCTCGGACGCCGCCAGCGATGGAGGCGGATCGATGCGGAAGGAGGGCACAGAGATCCCCCTCGAGGCGCCCGTTCAGTCACTGTCCGAGCCGACGGCCGAGGAGCCTTTCCGTTTCCGCTTTGTGGGCTTCGGTTTGGTGTCTTCCTCCTCCTACAAAAGGGAAAAGGCCATAAATGTGATGTGTGGATTGGACTAAATTGTACGATTGGGGTCTGACCAAGACTAAAGAAGATGTGGATGAGAACTGCGGACATGACCAGAGACAACAATCAAGTCTTGGGTAAACACCCGGACTGTGGCGCAGCTGTATTAGATCACTACTGACCAAAAAGTCATGAGTTCGAACCCAGTCTAGGTCAGGGTGAGCTTCCGACCATTGTCTAGCTCGCTGTCGACCTTTGCAGCCCGAGAGAGTGTCGGGAGTCGATTTCTGACATCACAAATTCCCTCCGTGACATCCTGACTGAATTATATTGACTGCATCGATTCTCTCTGTGACATTCCGAAGCCAGCAGAATGTCACAGAGGGAATTCCATGATATGGAACTTGTGAAGCAACTAATAAGGAAACTAAGCAGAGGGTAAGATGGGCAGGAAAAGTGTAGAAAAGGAAGTGGTGGTGGGAAAAAGTCAGTAGTGTCTTTCTTTGCTGCAGAGATACAAGTAATATATCCATTTCAAAGCAAGCCGGCTTGTGAGTAGTTATTTAATATTGCTATATAGATCCTACAGACTGACAGACAGCTGCATCTGTCAAGTAGGAAATTTAGGTACCGCTTAAGCGGGGAGGCTAATTTAACTAATTTACAACACCATAAAAAAAATCTCCAGCAAGCGTACAAAGAATGAGGAAGTACTCCATCAGTGCCACAAATGGACAGTGAAGCGACAGCTCCCTCGGTGGCCAGAGTACCCTCATGAAGCTGGAATGTCAAATGGCCTCTGTTTGTCTGTTTATATATGTTGCGTAACTAATTTACGACGCCATAAAAAATCTCCAGCAAGCGTACAAAGAATGAGGAAGTACTCCATCAGTGTCACAAATGGACGGTGAAGCGACAGCTCCCCCGGTGGTCAGAGTACCCTCATGAAGCTGGAATGTTAAATGGCCTCTGTGTGTCTGTCTATATATGTTGTGTAACTAATTTACGACACCGTAAAAAAATCTCCAGCAAGCATGCAAACAATAAGGAAGTACTCCATTAGTGTCACAAATTGATGGTGAAGTGACCTCCCCCGGTGGCCAGAGTACCCTCATGAAGCTGGAATGTTAAATGGCCTCTGTGTATCTGTCTATATATGTTGCGTAACTAATTTACGATGCCATTAAAAAAATCTCCAGCAAGCATGCAAACAATGAGGAAGTACTCCATCAGTGTCACGAATGGACGGTGAAGCGACAGCTCCCCCGGTGGCCAGAGTACCCTCATGAAGCTGGAATGTTAAATGGCCTCTGTGTGTGTGTCTATGTTGCGTAACTAATTTACGACGCCATAAAAATCTCCAGCAAGCGTGCAAAGAATGAGGGAGTACTCCATCAGTGTCACAAACGGGCGATGAAGCAACAGCTCCCCCGGTGGCCAGAGTACCCTCATGAAGCTGGAATGTTAAATGGCCTCTGTTTGTCTGTCTATATATGTTGTGTAACTAATTTACGACGCCATAAAAAAATCTCCAGGAAGCGTGCAAAGAATGAGGAAGTACTCCATCGGTGTCACAAATGGACGGTGAAGCGATAGCTCCCCCGGTGGCCAGAGTACCCTCATGAAGCTGGAATGTTAAATGGCCTCTGTGTGTCTGTCTATATATGTTGCGTAACTAATTTACGACGCCATAAAAAAACTCCAGCAAGCGTGCAAAGAATGAGGAAGTACTCCATCAGTGTCACAAATGGACGGTGAAGCGACAGCTCCCCCGGTGGCCAGAGTACCCTCATGAAGCTGGAATGTTAAATGGCCTCTGTGTGTGTGTCTATGTTGCGTAACTAATTTACGACGCCATAAAAATCTCCAGCAAGCGTGCAAAGAATGAGGGAGTACTCCATCAGTGTCACAAACGGGCGATGAAGCAACAGCTCCCCCGGTGGCCAGAGTACCCTCATGAAGCTGGAATGTTAAATGGCCTCTGTTTGTCTGTCTATATATGTTGTGTAACTAATTTACGACGCCATAAAAAAATCTCCAGGAAGCGTGCAAAGAATGAGGAAGTACTCCATCGGTGTCACAAATGGACGGTGAAGCGATAGCTCCCCCGGTGGCCAGAGTACCCTCATGAAGCTGGAATGTTAAATGGCCTCTGTGTGTCTGTCTATATATGTTGCGTAACTAATTTACGACGCCATAAAAAAACTCCAGCAAGCGTGCAAAGAATGAGGAAGTACTCCATCAGTGTCACAAATGGACGGTGAAGCGATAGCTCCCCCGGTGGCCAGAGTACCCTCATGAAGCTGGAATGTTAAATGGCCTCTGTGTGTGTGTCTATGTTGCGTAACTAATTTACGACGCCATAAAAATCTCCAGCAAGCGTGCAAAGAATGAGGGAGTACTCCATCAGTGTCACAAACGGGCGATGAAGCAACAGCTCCCCCGGTGGCCAGAGTACCCTCATGAAGCTGGAATGTTAAATGGCCTCTGTTTGTCTGTCTATATATGTTGTGTAACTAATTTATGACGCCATAAAAAAACTCCAGGAAGTGTGCAAAGAATGAGGAAGTACTCCATCAGTGTCACAAATGGACGGTGAAGCGATAGCTCCCCCGGTGGCCAGAGTACCCTCATGAAGCTGGAATGTTAAATGGCCTCTGTGTGTCTATATATGTAAGTGGCTCCTTACATCAAGAAGGAAAGTCAACATCTGTCCGGAACTGATGGAGTCAGCAAGCTTTAGCCAGGCAGGAAGGCACAATTCAAGCCTTCCAGGCAGATGGCCACCCAACCTCTGCTTCAAAACCTCCTCCAGGTTCCCAACCAGCCCATAATCCACTGCCTCAAGGAGTTCATCCTAATGTTGTTGCACTTTGAATCCATGGCTCCACTGTGTCCAAACGTGACCCTTCCTCAATATTTTTACTTGGTTCTTTCTCTTCTTAACCTCTTCTTTTCCAAGCTAAACATCCCCAGCTCCCTGAGCCATTCCATAAAGGGCCTGTGGCCTTTCTCTGGATCCCTTCCATCTTATGGGGGGAGATGGGCAGAAAAGATGTACAAAAGGAAGTGGTGGTGGGAAAAAGTCCGTAGTGTCTTTCTTTGCTGCAGAGATACAAGCAATATATCCATTTCAAAGCAAAGCCGGCTTGTGAGTGGTTATTTCTCTTTCTCTGGATTCCTTCCATCTTATCCATACACTTCCTGAATTGTAGGGCCCAGGACAAAACATGGGATTACTCCAGGTAAGGTCGGACCAAAGCGGAGCAGAGTGGAACTATGACTTCTCTAGATACTACACTCCTCAGATTGGCTTTGTAGTTGCTCCGCCTTGTGGGCAACCCCGCCACCACTCACCGAGGCGCTGGTGGAGGCCGACTCTTCCTCGTTGTTGGCTGGCTGGGCCGCGTTCTTCCGGCTCCGGGGGCTGGAGATGGTGGCTTTCCGCCGGCTCTTGGGGACCTTGCTGGAGGAGTCCTCGTACTCCTCGGCCAGGGAGAAGAGGTCGCTGAACCTAAAGGGCAGCAAGAGGGGTTAGCAGTCTCGCTGGGGTACCTTTAGCAGGGCTTTTGAGAAAGTTACCATATTTCATCACATAATAGTCTAATTATTTTGGGCAGCTCAATCTTCACAGTATTTGGGAAGTTGGGGCCCTTCTCGGAGAATGGCTACTCTTAATGCGTCTCCTACATCTATCGCTTGGCCTTTTCCTCTGGACCTCCATCCTTGCAAAAAATGAAAACATACAAGGGTAACAGCTCTCACTCCCTTGTTCCTCCTTCGTTTTTGGTCGCTCAAAACAAAGAGAAAATAGTCCAAAATGGGCAGTTAGATCCTCACAGGAAACCAGAAGGTTTGGACCACTGACCCCCAAATGCGACTTCAATGTAAGGATGGCGAACAATCCCATACCTCCCTGATCTGACGGTGCAAAAGTTTCAGAGTATTAGGGAAATCTGGGTACTTTTAGCAGAGCTTTGGAGAAAGTTACCATATCTCATCACATAATAGTCTCGTTAGACACTAAAAGGTTTGAACCACTGACCCCCAAATGCGACTTCAATGTTAGGATGGCAAACAATCCCATACCTCCCTGATCTGACGGTGCAAAAGCTTCAGAGTATTAGGGAAGTTGGGGTACTTTGAGCAGAGCTTTGGAGAAAGTTACCATATTTCATCACATAATAGTCTCGTTATTTTGGTGAACAATCCCGTACCGTCCTGAACTGACAGCGCAAAAGCTTCAGAGTATTAGGGAAGTTGAGGTACTTTGAGCAGAGCTTTGGAGAACGTTGCCATATTTCATCACATAATAGTCTCATTATTTGGGGCAGCTGGATCCTCACAGGAAACCAGAAGGTTAGGACCACTGACTCCCAAATGCAACTTCAGTGTCAGGATGACGAACAATCCCGTACCTCCCTGATCTGACAGTGCAAAAGCTTCAGAGTATTAGGGAAGTTGGGGTACTTTGAGCAGAGCTTTGGAGAACGTTGCCATATTTCATCACATAATAGTCTCATTATTTTATCCCTTTAATAATCCAAAAAAGGGGTGTGATGTAAATTGCGGGATGTGATGAAAAAAAAATCTGATTTTGCAGTTGATCGCAGGTTTGACTCTGGGGAGCGGGGTGAGCTCCCACTGTTAGCCCCAGCTTCTGCCAACCTAGCAGTTTGAAAACATGCAAATGTGAGTAGATCAATAGGCACTGCTCCGGCGGGAAGTAACAGTCATGCCATGCAGTCATGCCAGCCACATGACCTTGGAGGTGTCTAAGGACAACGCCAGCTCTTCGGCTTAAAAATTGAGATGAGCACCAACCCCCAGAGTCGGAGACGGCTGGAATTAACGCCAGGGGGAAAACTTTACCTCAACCTTGTTTTTTTAACTAGCTTCCTTCTGAGACAGGAAGAGAAGGAAAGATGCTCAGCCTCAAGCAAACAGCGGGGGCAATGGTATTTTTGTTTTCCTCGTGTAATAGTCGCACCTCTATTTGATTCTGATCCTGCCTGCCTTCCTCTCTGGAGGACAAAAGGGAACATCAGAACTCCAGAGACCTCGATTTCAGGTTTTTGGAGAAACAAGGAAAGGGGAATTGGGCCTAAAAGGCTCTGCGACTATTATGTGAAGAACGCAAAAGTACCAAGTTTGCCACCCAAAAAATGGGGATGACGATTACCATTTTTCCCAATCTAATTCCAACTTTTTTTTCGGGGGAGGGGGGTGTTGTACAGGAAGGTGAGACCCATTATCCAGCTCCAGGAAATATCACAAAGACCCTAATCCACAGACAAAACTGGGCACTTACTTCATTTTGTGGGCTTCGTCGCAGCTGGCCTGGACGTGCTGCAAGGCTTGAAGGATCGGGGTTTGGCTGAAGACTGTCGGAGAGGCAAAAGAGAAGCAAGAGGATGTCCACAAAGCCACGAAAAAGAGCTCCAAAGGGCTAAGAGGAGGAAGGCTGATGGGACTTCTTGCCTTTTGGACACTCAACCCAGGACATGGTTAGAGAGAAGACATCACAGTCTCCGAAACCGTGGGACAAACTGATTTTTTTGTACACCAAGACATGAGTTTCCAGCCATTAGTCTAGCTTGCTGTCGACCTATGCAGCCCAAAAGACAGTTGCATCTGTCAAGTAGGAAATTTAGCTAAGCTCCCGACTATTAATAGTCTAGCTTGCTGTCGACCTATGCAGCCCAAAAGACAGTTGCATCTGTCAAGTAGGAAATTTAGCTAAGCTCCCGACTATTAATAGTCTAGCTTGCTGTCGACCTATGCAGCCCGAAAGACAGTTGCATCTGTCAAGTAGGAAATTTAGCTAAGCTCCCGACTATTAATAGTCTAGCTTGCTGTCGACCTATGCAGCCCGAAAGACAGTTGCATCTGTCAAGTAGGAAATTTAGCTAAGCTCCCGACTATTAATAGTCTAGTTTGCTGTCGACCTATGCAGCCCGAAAGACATTTGCATCTGTCAAGTAGGAAATTTAGGTAAGCTCCCGACCATTAATAGTCTAGCTTGCTGTCGACCTATGCAGCCCAAAAGGCAGTTGCATCTGTCACGTAAGAAATTTAGGCAAGCTCCTGACCATTAATAGTCTAGCTTGCTGTCTACCTATGCAGCCCGAAGGACAGTTGCATCTGTTAAGTAGAAAATTTAGGTAAGCTCCCGACCATTAATAGTCTAGCTTGCTGTCTACCTATGCAGCCCGAAGGACAGTTGCATCTGTTAAGTAGAAAATTTAGGTAAGCTCCCGACCATTAATAGTCTAGCTTGCTGTCGACCTATGCCGCCCGAAAGACAGTTGCATCTGTCAAGTAAAAGGGGGAAGGAAAGCGGTAGAGATGAAAGGAAGGAGAGAAAGAAAGAAAGAAAAGGAAGGAAAGAGGGAGTGAAGGAAGGAGGGAAAGAAGGAGAGAAAGCTGGAGAGAAGGAAAGAGAGAAGGAAAGGAAGAGATAGAGAAGGAAGAAAGGAGAAAAAGTGGAAGGAAAAGAAAAGGGGGAAGGAAAAAAAGAGGTAGAGAAGGTAGGTAGGTAGGAAGGAAGGAAGGAAGGAAGGAAGGAAGGAAAGAAAGAAAGAAAAGAAAGAAGAAAGAAGAGAGGGAGGAAAGAAGGAGGGAGAGAAGGCGGGAGAGAAGGAAAGAAAGAAAGAGAAGGAAGGATAAAAGCAAAGGAAGGAAAGCGGTAGAGAGAAAAGAAAGAAAAGGGAAAAAAGAGAAAAAAGAAAGGAAAGAAGAGAAAAAAGAAAAAAAGGGAATGAAGGAACGAAAGAGGAGAAGGAAGGGGGATGAGAAAGAGAGAAGCTAACAGCAAAGAAGCAAAGAGCGAAGGAAGGAAAGAGATAGAGAAGGAAGAAAGGCGAGAAAGTGGAAGGGAAAGAAAAGGGGGAAGGAAAGAAAGAGGTAGAGAAGGAAGAAAGGAGAGTGAAAGGAAGGAAGGAAGGAAGGAAGGAAGGAAGGAAAGGGGGAGTGAAGGAAGGAGGGATAGAAAGAGAGAAAGCGGGAGAGAAAGAAAGAGAGAAGGAAGGATGAAAGCAAATAGTGAAGGAAGGAAAGAGATAGAGGGAAGAAAGGAGAGAAAGTGGAAGGAAAAGAAAAGGAGGAAGGGAAGAAAGAGGTAGAGAGGAAGGAAGGAATGAAAAGAAGGAGGAAGAATGGAAGGAAGGGAATGAATGAAGGAGAGAAGAAAAGGAATGAAAAGAAGGAGGGAGGGAGGAGAGAAGGAAAGGAGGAGGGAAGGGAGGAATGAAAATAAGGAAGGAGGGAATGAATGAATGAAGGAAGGAAGGAAGAAGAGAAGGAATGAAAAGAAGGAGGAATGAAGGAAAGTAGGAGATAAGGAAAGAAGGGGAGGGAAGGAAAGGGGAAGAGAAGGAAGAGAAAGAAGGAAGGAAAGAAGAAAAGAAAGAAGAAAGGAAGGAAGGAAGTAGGGAGGGAGAAGGAGAAGGAAAGAAGAAGGGAAGAGAAGGAGAAAAAAGGGAAGGAAGGAAGGAAGGAAGGAGAAAGAGAGGGGAGAAAAGGGGAAGGAAGGAAGGAAGGAAGGAAGGAAGGAAGGAAGGAAGGAAGGAAGGAGGGAAGAAGAAAGGAAGGAAAGAGGGAGTGAAGGAAGGAATAAAAGGGAATGGAAGCAAAAAGCGAAGGAAGGAAGGAAAGAAGGAAAGAAAAAGAAGAAAGGACGGAGGGAGAGAAAGGAAGGAAGGAGAGAAAGAGGGAGGGAAAATTGGCCACAGCAAAGTGTGGCGGGTAGAGCGAGTAAATACAGAAGTCTTGCGTACAGTTCTGTTTGGTGTTGGTGAGGTTGAGGCGGAGGTTGTCCAAGTGCTCCAGGATCTGCTCCAGGGTCAGCTGGGCCAGTTTGCTGCTGGAGCTTCGAAGGCTGCAAAGATCAAGGAAGAAGAGAGAGAGAAAGGAGGAGGCCATCAGGAGGAGTCTTCTGCTTTGGGAGACCCAATGGAGTTGCAGGATGGGGGAATAAGTTGACAGGCAGCCTGAAGGCGGGCAAGTGGACCCTGAAGGTGTCCAGATGTCCAGAGACCACTAGATGTCCCTCTCGTTCTGGAAATGAAGGCTGACTTCTCCCTCCACGTTTAAGAGCACAGAGAAATTGCTTTCTTCGAGCTCTTCCAGCAAGGAGCGTTTGTTTGCCTTTAAACCGCATTATTTTCACCAAATACGAGTCATTTTGTTTTCCTCGCGTAATAGTCGCACCCCTATTTTCCCCCTTTTCCGCCTCACCTTTGGCGCTTCCTGGGCAGGCTGTTGTTCTTGATGAGGAGGGACTTGATGTGTTCGGCCAGGAGGTCGTCGTGCTTGATGCACCAGTGCCGCAGGATGCTGGTGGTGAACTGGTCGTCTGGGTGGCACGGCCGGCTCAGCACCATCTTGACCATCTCCTCGCTCGGCCTGCGGAGGCACGAGTACAAAGTAAGTCTCGGTGCGGCAATTACCATAATTCATTGCACAATATAGTGCCACCACAGACCTCACAACCTCTGAGGATGCCTGCCACAGATGCAGGCAAAAGGTCAGGAGAGAGTGCTTCTGGAACATGGCCATAAATCCCGGAAAACTCACAGCAACCCAGTGATTCCAGTCACGAAAGCCTTAGACAATATCGTATTAGTGTACTGCATGTATATATACCTTGTAAGCCGCTCTGAGTCCCCTTCGGGGTGAGAAGGGCGGCATATAAATGCCGTAAATAAATAAATAAGACAATAGGTAAAGGTAAAGGTAGTCCCCTGACATTAAGTCCAGTCATGTCTGACTCTGGGGGTTGGTGCTCATCTCCATTTCTAAGCCGAAGAGCCAGCGTTGTCCGTAGACACCTCCAAGGTCATGTGGCCACTGGCATGACTGCATGGAGCGCCGTTACCTTCCCGCCGGAGCAGTACCTATTGATCTACTCACATTTGCATGTTTTCGAACTGCTAGGTTGGCAGAAGCTAGGGCTGACAGCGGAAGCTCACGCCGCTCCCTGGAATCGAACCTGCGACCTTTCGATCAACAAGCTCAGCAGCTCAGTGCTTTAACCCACTGTGCCACCAGGGGCTCCATACACATAATACACCACATAATACACCACATAATACACCACATAATACACCACATAATAGTCGAACTTAGAACTGCCGATGTTTCATTGCATAATAGTCGCCATCACATAATAGTCACCACCATTTTTGGTGCCAATGGGGGTATTTTTGTTTTCTCCACATAATAGTCGCACCCCTATTTGAGCCTGAATCTCCCCTTCCTTCCTTCCCTTCCCTTCCTTCTTTCTCCAAAGGCACATAATAGTTGCACCATTGCAAAAAAAAAAAAAAACCCATTACATTCCATTTTTGTTTTCCTCGCATAATAGTCGCACCCCTTTTTGAGACTGATTTCCCCTTCCTTACTTCCTTCTTTTTCCAAAGGTAAGACAGTTAAAAACTACAAAATTGTGGTCTCTGAAGCTCCACACTTCTCTCCTTTCTCCTTCCTTCAAAGTCAAAAATATAGAATTGTATTTTTGTTTCCCTCACGTAATAGTTGCACTTCTATTTGAGACCGATTCTTCCTTCCTTCTTTCTCCGAAGGCAAGGTAGTTAAAAGCTACAAAATGAGGGTCACTGAAGCTCCTCTCTTCTCTCCTTTCTCCTTCCTTCACAGCCAAAAATATACAATGGTATTTTTGTTTCCCTCACATAATAGTCGCACCTTTATTTGAGACTGATTCTTCTTTCCTTCTTTCTCCAAAGGCAAGGTAGTTAGAAACTACAAAATGGGGGGCTCTGAAACTCCACTCTTCTCTCCTTTCTCCTTCCTTCAAAGCCAAAAATATATAATGGTATTTTTGTTTCCCTTGCATAATAGTCGCACCTCTATTTGAGATTGATCTTTCCTTCCTTCTTTCTCCGAAGGCAAGATAGTTAAAAACTACAAAATGGGGGTCTCTGAAGCTCCACTCTTCTCTCCTTTCTCCTTCCTTCACAGTCCCCTCACATAATAGTCGCACCTCTATTTGGGACTGATTCTTCCTTCCTTCTTTCTCCAATGGCAAGGTAATTAAAAACTACAAAATGAGGACCTCTGAAGCTCCACTCTTCTCTCCTTTCTCCTTCTTTCAAAGCCAAAAATATATAATGGTATTTTTGTTTCCCTTGCATAATAGTCGCACCTCTATTTGAGATTGATCCTTCCTTCCTTCTTTCTCCTAAGTAGTTAAAAACTACAAAATGAGGGTCTCTGAGGCCCTCTCTTCTCTCCTTTCTCCTTCCTCCAAAGTCAAATGTAAAATTGTATTTTTGTTTTCCTCGTGTAATAGTCGCACCCCTATTTAAGATTGATGGAATGGCAGGAACGAAGTGGAAATACGTACTTCTCGCGCCGGAGCTGGAGCAATAAGCAGGAAAGAGCCTCGGGGTGCTCTGGAAGAGAAAGAAGGATACAGGGGTTGCATTGGATTTGAATCTAAAGGTGGAGGAAACACCTGGCGGGCATTTAGGGCTCCTTCCACTTCCCGGTCGGTTCTCACCTTTATACTTGAGGTGCTGTAGGATGGGGATGATGGTCTCCAGGGGGATGTTGTGGGCCAGAAAGAGCTGCCAGGTGCAGTACTGCTCAAAGGTCTCCCACTCCAAACTCTGGACTGGAAAAGGAGGAAAGGGTAAATATAATAATAATAATAGATAAAAGCATGTTTTTTAATTGCTAGGTTGGCAGGAGCTAGGGCTAACAGCGGGAGCTCACCGTGACCCATGGCTTCGAACTACCAACCTGTCGCCCACCGGACCCCCAACTCACTCAAAATATTCAGGACCATGCTTGCTCCAACCAAGTTTAATATTTACACAAATGACCAGCCACTACCAGAAGGGTCAGAAAGTTTCATCTATGCCGACGATCGTGCCATCACCACCCACAGCTTTGAACTGCCAACCTGCCACCCACCGGACCCCCAACTCACTCAAAATGTTCAGGACCGAGTCCTTCCGGAACATCACCAAGTTGCCCATCATGACGTGGCAGACCAGTTCCTGGAGCTGGAAAAGGGAAAGCAGGAACTGGTAAATGCTGGGAAGGGTCTCTCTCAAAGGACCCCACAGTGAAGGCCACTTTGATTGGCTCTGCTGCTCGACCAAGGAACCCAAAAAGACACGCTCTTATATGGGTACGATGCACTTGCCTGAATTCAACATGGACTCTGGAGGCCAGGTTAAATACTATACCCTTAAATCTACGAAGGTTGAATGAAAAGTAATGCCTCCACCTTCCCACCAGAATGGAACTGTAGAGCCTACTGTAGAGTCTACTGAGCAAGCCAGTACCTGCCGCATACCAGTACTGCCATCTGTTGAGGAGTTACGAAGGTGGAGGCATTACTTTGACTGCTAAGGCTTCCGACCAGAATGGAACTGTAGAGGAGGGTCTCCTGAACAAGTCAGTACCTGCCACAATAAGTTGCTTAAGTCGCTTGACTGACCATCTGTGCAGGGTTCCATATTTCACGCTTTAACAACGCAACCGTTCAATTACTTTGTGCACTAAGGCTTCTGTCCAAAATGGAACTGTAGAGGAGAGTCTACTGAACAAGCCAGTACCTGCCACATACGTTGCTTAAGTCGCTTAACCAACCGTCTGCGCAGGGTTCCATACTTCACACTTTAACAACACAACCGTTCAATGCTAAGGCTTCCTGCCAACATGGAACTGTAGAGGAGAGTCTACTGAACAAGCCAGTACTTCCTGCATACCAGTACTGCCATCTGATGAGGAGTTACGAAGGTGGAGGCATTACTTTTCACTTTAACACCACAACCGTTCAATGCTAAGGCTTCCGGCCAACATGGAACTGTAGAGGAGAGTCTACTGAACAAGCCAGTACCTGCCACATACCAGTACTGCCATCTGTTACGAAGGTGGAGGCATTACCTTTCACTTTAACACCACAACCGTTCAATGCTAAGGCTTCCCACCAACATGGAACTGTAGAGGAGAGTCTACTGAACAAGCCAGTACTTCCTGCATACCAGTACTGCCATCTGATGAGGAGTTACGAAGGTGGAGGCATTACTTTTCACTTTAACAACACAACCGTTCAATGCTAAGGCTTCCCGCCAACATGGAACTGTAGAGGAGAGTCTACTGAACAAGCCAGTACCTGTCGCATACCAGTACTGCCATCTGTTGAGGAGTTACGAAGGTGGAGGCATTACTTTTCACTTTAATAACACAACCGTTCAATGCTAAGGCTTCCCGTCAACATGGAACTGTAGAGGAGAGTCTACTGAACAAGCCAGTAACTGCCACATACCAGTACTGCCTTCTGTTGAGGAGTTACGAAGGGGGAGGCATTACTTTGTCTGCTAAAGCTTCCAACCAAAATGGAACTTTGGAGGAGAGTCTACTGAACAAGCCAGTACCTGCCGCATACCAGTACTGCCATCTGAGAGGCATTACTTTTCATTCAACCCTGGTACTATACCCTTAAATCTATTTGTAGATTTGGTTTCTTTTCTCGATCGTATCTTATGTCCCTTTCCCTGCCAATAAAATATTTTGGGGGGAACGTAGCGAGCGCGGAGTGACCAAATAAGGGTCCTTCGGCCGCTTCTCTGCCGTTTCCCAGATGCGATAGCCATCGGCGTTGCTGCGCCCTGCCAAGGAAAACCACCCAAAAAGGAACGTATTTACGGCAAATACTAAGAATTTTACGGGCACAGAGATTAAAGATGGAAGAGCTGGGCTGGCCAAGAGACCCCTCTGCCTTTGAGTCGTGCTATTTTGGGGGCCATCCATGCCAGAGCCATGGCAACCTATTGGCAACGGGACTTATAGTCCCGGGAGGGCTTTGATCCCAAATCCACTCCGGTTTTGTTCCAAGAATAATAAAATGGGGCCCCAGTCTTGGAACGGTCGTACAGCGTCTCAACGAGGAATAGGCCGCAAGGAAATCCCCTCCAATGGCTGTCAACATTGGCATTTTGGCTGGCAAGCTGGTTGGGTGATGCTAATGCTAATTATTGTTATTGTTATTATTATTATTATTATTATTATTATTATTATTAGCCATCCCCTGCGCCACGGGTTGCTGTGGCCCAGTCTGTGTATATGTTCCTTGTGTTTGTATATATTTGTGTATATGTATATATATGTGTGTTTACATATATATATGTGGTTACGTGCAATTATTATTATTATTATTATTATTATTAGCCATCCCCTGCGCCACAGGTTGCTATGGCCCAGTCTGTGTATATGTTCCTTGTGTGTGTATATATGCGTATATGTGTGTATATATATATTTGTGTATATGTGTATATATGTGTGTTTACATATATATATATCTGGTTATGTGCATGCATTGTCTCATATATATATATATATATATATATATATATACACACACACACACGGATTGAACTGCAAAGACTGGCACAAACCAGTCTAAGGTGGTCCCGGTCGTGATCGCCACACTGGGTGCAGTGCCTACAGACCTTGGCCTGCACTTAAAAACAATCGGCGCTGACAAAATTACCACCTATCATCTGCAAAAGGCCACCCTACGATACACTTGGGAAGGGTCCGACGTGGGACCCAATACAAAAGCCAGCATAGTGACCTTGTCGGCTGTGTACCACTCTTGTTGTGTATCAAATAATAATAATAATAATAATAATAATAATAATAATAATAATAATAAGTAGGTTCTTGTGGGTTTTTTCGGGCTATAGGGCCATGTTCTAGAGGCATCCTCTCCTGACGTTTCGCCTGCATCTATGGCAAGCATCCTCAGAGGTAGTGAGGTCTGTTGGAAGTAGGAAAATGGGTTTATATATCTGTAGAATGGCTGGGGTGGGGCAAGGAGCTCTTCTCTGCTGGAGCTGGGTGTGAATGTTTCAACTGACCACCTTAATTAGCATTTGAAGGCCTGGCTGAGCCTGGGAAAATCTTCTGTTGAGAAGTGTTAAGATGTGCCTGGTTGTTTCCTCTCTGCTGTTTTGCAGTTGTGATTTTAGAGCTTTTTTAATACTGGCAGCCAGATTGTGTTCCTTTTCATGGCTTCCTCCTTTCTGTTGAAATTGTCCACATGCTTGTGGATTTCACTGGCTTCTCTCTGTAGTCTGACATGGTGGTTGTTGGTGTGGATGCTTGCCATAGATGCAGGCAAAACGTCAGGAGAAATGCCTCTAGAACATGGCCCTATAGCCCGAAAAAAACCCACAAGAACCTAGTGATTCCAGCCATAAAAGCCTTCGACAATACAATAATAATAATAATAATAATAATAATAATAATAATACTTTTATTTCTTAAGATGCACCCATTTTTAGGGGCATTTCTATGGGGTGAAAATGCATCTTAGAATTGGCCAAATACATAATAATAATAATAATAATAATAATAATAATAATAATAATAAATTATTATTATTATTATTATTATTATTATTATTATTATTATTATTATCCTCACAGCCTCACAAGGAAAGCAATGGCAAAATTCCAGATGCACCCACCAAGATTTCCAGGTAACTGCTAAATGTAGAGTTGGAAAGATGGCTGAGAGGAGAGGTAGTTGCGCCATTTCACCTCTGATGTGGAAATAATAATAATAATAATAATAATAATAATAATAATTTATTTGTACCCTCCCACCATCTCCCCAAAGGGGCTCGGGTCACCAACAAAGCACTCCAAGGTGCCGCACATATCTCAAACATGTATCTCGATGCCGAAATGGCAACCCTGTGGAGCGGACCAAGACAGAAGCCAAACACAAAGAAGAAGGAGGGGACCTTACCTGAGCGGAGTCGACGACGGCCACAATCATGTTCAGCAGCTCCCCGCTCCGCAGGGTCTCATCTGGGAACTGGGTAAACAAATTGCAAGCGGTCATGAAGTTTGCAAAGTCAACCATTGAGGGTGTCTCCATAGAGGTAGCCTGGCCTCTATTGCCTGGGGGCACCCTCTGTTCAGGAAGTGTTCCCTGGCACTTGGTTGTCTACTGTGTGGAGTTCCCTCGTTTCTGAGTCTTTGCTGTCTTGAATCTGGTGGGGGTTTTTTTGGTTTGGTTTTTTTTGCCGGTCAGAGATACAGGCGAAACGTTAGGAGAGAATGCTACTGGAACATGGCTACGCAGCCCGAAAAACTCACAACAATGATGGTGTTTTGCTTCCTGCCTGCATGGAGAGTTCCCTCTCCCCTCCTTGTTTACAAGATGCAATCCTCACCTGCGCATCTTCTCTCCCGTTCGCTCCCATGAACTCGTCTATACGGCACTTGCTTCCCTGTTCTCTGCTAGGGAGACCAACATTTCCCTGCTTGAATGTCAAGCCAAAGCCCGGCTCTCACCTCGGTGTATATGGAGGGCGTGAGGTAACAGAGGAGGCGGACGTCGTCCTCCTGGCAGGCCTTCATGTCCATCATCAGGCAAGTATGGAGGTCGCCCAGCTGGGTGGCCTGGGCAAAGGACTCGTAGAGGTTCATCTTGCCGGCTGCCGCTTTGCTTCAAAGGAGAACGTGGAAGGGCCCGTGAGACAGCAAGAGAAGCCATGAGGGCCAGAAGGATCTTTCCCCCCTTCCTTCCTTTCCACACATCCATCCTTCTTTCCTTCTCATTCTTCCTTCCTTCCTTCCATCCTTCACCATCGCTCCTTCCTTCCTTTCCACACATCCTTCCTTCTCCCTGACACTTCCAGTTCCGGTCCTGCTTCTTTTCCTCCTTTCCTTCCTTCCTTCCTTCCTTCCTTCCTTCCTCCTCCTCCTCTCCTCCTTGTCCTTCCTTCCCATCCTTCCTTCCTTCCATTCATCCATCCATCCATCCCCCTTGCTCCTTCCTTCCTTCCTTCCTTCCTTTACATCCATCCTTCTACCATCCTTCCCATTCTTCCTTCCATCCATCTATTCATCCATCCTGCGCCCTCACTCCTTCCTTCCCATTCTTCCTTCCTTTCATCCATCCTTCTCCTTCACTCCTTCCTTCCTTTCTTTACATCCATCCTCTCCCTTCCACCTTTGCTTTCTCTTTCCATCAATCCATCCTTCTCCCTCCTTCCTTCCTTCCTTTCTTTCTTTCTTCCTCCTCCTCCTCTTCCTTCTCCCCCCTCCCTCCCTCCCTCCCTCCCTCCCTCCCTCCCCCCCCCCTCCCTCCCTTCTTCCTTTCTTTCTTTCTTTCCTTTCTTTCTTTCTTCTTTCTTTCTTTCTTTTTCTTTCTTTCTTTCTTTCTACACATCCATCCTTCACCCTTCCATTCTTCCTTCCTTCCTTTCTCACTATCCATACATCCTTCTGTCTCCTTCCCTCCCTCCTTTCTTTCCACATATCAAATCCTTCCTTCCTTCCTTCCTTCCTTCCTTCCTTCCTTTCTTCTCCCTCCCTTCCTTACCACACATCCATCCTTCTCCCTTCCATCCTTCCTTTTTTCCATCCTTCCATACATACATACATCCTTCTCCCTCCCTCCCTTCTTCTTCTTTCCTTCCTTTCCACACATTCATCCTTCTCCCTTCTGTCCTTCCTTCATTCCTTCCATTCATCCATCTTTCTCTCTCCTTCCTTCCTTTACATACATCCTTCTCCTTTCCATCTTTCCTTCCTTTCTTTCCATACTTCCTTCCTTCCATACATCCTTCCTCCTTCCTTCCTTCCTTTCCGTCTTTCTTTCTTTCTTTCTTTCCACACATCTCATCTTTCTTCCTTCTCTTTCTTTCTTTCTTCCTTCCTTTCCTTCCTTCCTTCCTTCCTTCCTTCCTTCCTTCCTTCCCTCCCTCCCTCCCTCCCTCCCTCCCTCCCTCCCTCCCTCCTTCCTTCCTTCCTTCCTTCCTTCCTTCCTTCCTTCCTTCCTTCCTTTCCATCCTTCCACCCCTCCCTCCTTTCTTCCTCCCTCCCTTCCTCCCGCCTTTCCTTTCTTCCTATCCATCTAACCATCCATCCATCCATCTCCCAAGCCATCCCCTCAGATCTTTGCCTGGGTCCAGGCTCACCTGGCTTTCAGGTAGTAGAGGAGGTGGTACCCGATCTTGGGCTGCTTCTGGTAGAGCTCGGACAAGAGGTCCAGGAGGACCGAGAAGCTGCTGTTGTCCTCCTGCATCTGGCAGAGATTCCTGGAGGGAGACCAAAGGAGAACCAGGTCAGGAGGAACCACGGAACGAACCAGCGCAAGGCGGCCAAGCCGGGGAGGAGAAAGGAAGAAGAAGGGAACGCACCTAAATATTAGGTAGAGCGGCTTCCCCACGGATTCCTCAAGAGACCTGAGCAAAAGGAAGAACACAAGAGAGAGGTGATTCACTGCCAGGAAGCACAACGTGACAACATTGCACCAAGCCCAATGTAGAAGGATTGAATGAAAAGTAATGCCTCCACCTTCGTTACTTGGTTTTGGATGGGAATATTTTAATAAACCAACCACAGAAAATGCAACTGTAGAGGAGAGTCTATTGAACAAGCCAGTACCTGCCAGATACATTGCTTATGTCACCTTGACCGACCATTTGCGCAGCATTCCATACTTTGCACTTTAACAACACAACCATTCAATGCTAAGGCTTCCCACCAAAATGGAAATGTTGAGGAGAGTCTACTGAACAAGTCAGTACCTGCCACATACGTTGTTTAAGTCGCTTGACTGACCGTCTGCAAGGGTTCCATACTTTGCACTTTAACAACACAACCGTTCAATCCTGAGGATTCCCACCAAAATGGAACTGTAGAGGAGAGTCTACTGAACAAGCCAGTACATTGAACAAGCCAGTACTTGCCACATACGTTGCTTAAGTCGCCTTGACCGACCGTCTGCGCAGGGTTCCATACTTTGCACTTTAACAACACAATTGTTCAATGCTAAGGCTTCCCACCAAAATGGAACTAGAGAGGAGAGTCTACTGAACAAGCCAGTACGTTGCTTAAATCGCCTTGACCGACTGTCTGCAAGGGTTCCATACTTCGCACTTTAACAACATAACCGTTCAATGCTATGGCTTCCCACTGAAATGGAACTGTAGAGGAGAGTCTACTGAACAAGCCAGTACGTTGCTTAAGTCGCCTTGACCGACCATCTGCGCAGGGTTCCATACTTTGCACTTTAACAACACAACCGTTCAATGCTAAGGCTTCCCACCAAAATGGAACTATAGAGAAGAGTCTACTGAACAAGCCAGTACATTGTTTAAGTCGCCTTGACCGACGAAGGGTTCCATATTTTGTACTTTAGCAACACAACCATTCAATGCTGAGGATTCCCACCAAAATGCAACTGTAGAGGAGAGTCTACTGAACAAGCCAGTACGTTGCTTAAGTCGCCTTGACTGACCGTCTGTGCAGAGTTCCATACTTCGCACTTTAACAACACAACCGTTCAATGCTAAGGCTTCCCACGAAAATGCAACTGTAGAGGAGAGTCTACTGAACAAGCCAGTACCGGCCGCATACATTGCTTAAGTCGCTTGACCGACCATCTGCGCAGGATTCCATACTTCACACTTTAACTACACAACCGTTCAATGCTGAGGATTCCCACCAAAATGCAACTGTAGAGGAGAGTCTACTGAACAAGCCAGTACGTTGAACGAGCAAGTACTTGCCACATACGTTGCTTAAGTCGTCTTGACTGACCGTCTGCAAGGGTTCCATATTTTGTACTTTAGCAACACAACCGTTCAATGCTAAGGCTTCCCACCAAAATGGAACTAGAGAGGAAAGTCTACTGAACAAGCCAGTACATTGCTTAAGTCACCTTGACTGACCAAGGGTTCCATATTTTGTACTTTAGCAAAACAACCGTTCAATGCTGAGGATTCCCACCAAAATGCAACTGTAGAGGAGAGTCTACTGAACAAGCCAGTACGTTGCTTAAATCACCTTGACTGACCAAGGGTTCCATATTTTGTACTTTAGCAACACAACCGTTCAATGCTGAGGATTTCCACCAAAAAGAACTGTAGAGGAGAGTCTACTGAACAAGCCAGTACGTTGCTTAAATCGCCTTGACCAACCATCTGCAAGGGTTCCATATTTTGTACTTTAACAACACAACCATTCAATGCTAAAGCTTCCCACCAAAATGGAACTGTAGAGGAGAGTCTACTGAACAAGCCAGTACGTTGCTTAAGTCGCGCCTTGACCGACCGTCTGCAAGGGTTCCATATTTTGTACTTTAGCAACACAATTGTTCAATGCTGAGGATTCCCACCAAAATGGAACTGTAGAGGAAAGTCTACTGAACAAGCCAGTACGTGAAGGGTTCCATATTGTCTACTTTGCAACACAACCATTCAATGCTAAGGCTTCCCACCAAAACGCAACTGTAGAGGAAGAGTCTACTGAACAAGCCAGTACCGCCATCGGTTGAGGAGTTACAAAGGGGAAGGGATTACTTTTCATTCAACCCTCGTATTGAAGAAAGGCAGGAACGTACTCTTCTGTGATTTCTTCGGGAAGGACCTCTCCGCGGAAATGCGCCTTGAAGAGCTCCTGCAAACAGGAAGCCATGACGGACAACTGCTCCTGGTCAAAGTCCTCCTACAAGGAAAGGAGACAGAGTGGGGTACCTGTCCCGACTTACAAACAGATTCAACTTAAGAACAAACCTACAGGACCTCCAATTCCCAAAACAAAACAACAATGGCGGACCCCGTTCCTTGTTATGACGCCACCAAGTCCGCCATTGTTGTTTTGTTTTGGGAAGTGGGCCATTATTATTATTATTATTATTATTATTATTATTATTATTACCTCCAAGACTTGGTCCACAATTTCTTGCATGACCTCACACTGAGCTTCGGTGTCGCTGGAGTGGGTGGGTGGGGAACAAAAAAGAGGAAATCTAAATTAATCCGGAAATCCGGGTTGTTGTGAGTTTCCCGGGAATAATACTTTCAGACCAGGAAGAGAAAGTTTTCCCAATGTGGTGACATGGTGATCTAGAGATAGCCATCGCAAGGACCGACCTGCCTTTCTGCAGCAGGAGGACCTTGTCCTTCAGCGACTCGTCCAACTGGTCCAGGAAGGGCGTGATGTCCACGGGCTCCTCCACCACGGCCTCCTTGATGGGGTGGAAGCGGAACTCCCTCTTCTTCCCTGCAACGGCCAAGAAGGAAACCCTTGGGGGTATCTCTGCTGCAGAATTAATCCACTTGGATTGCCTTGGTTCAATGCTATGAGGGGCTGTAGTTTTGCAAGGCCTTGAGCCTTATTATTATTATTATTATTATTATTATTAATGCTACTATTATATTATTACTAAATAATTATTATTACTATTATTATATTATTATTACTACACCTATTATCATATTGTTATATTATTATTACTATTATATTATTACTATATTATTATTACTACTACTACTACTATATTATTATTACTACCACTATGATATTATTACTATATTAGCATTATTACTACCACTGCTATATTGTTATTACTATGATTATATTGTTACTATATTATTATGATTATTACTACTACTACTACTATTATATTACTATATTAGTATTACTACTACTGCTATCATATTACTATATTATTATTACTATTATATTATTACTACTTATATTATATTGTTACTATATTATTACTGCAATTATTATATTTATACTGTATTATTATTATATTACTATATTATGATTATTACTACTACTACTATTATATTACTATATTAGTATTACTACTACTGCTATCATATTACTATATTATTATTACTACTATTATATTATTACTACTTATATTATATTGTTACTATATTATTACTGCAATTATTACATTTATACTGTATTATTATTATTATATTACTATATTATGATTATTACTACTACTACTATTATATTACTATATTAGTATTACTATTATTATATTATTATTACTACACCTATTATCATATTGTTATATTATTATTACTATTATATTATTACTATATTATTATTATTACTACTACTACTACTATATTATTATTACTACCACTATGATATTATTACTATATTAGCATTATTACTACCACTGCTATATTGTTATTACTATGATTATATTGTTACTATATTATTATGATTATTACTACTACTACTACTATTATATTACTATATTAGTATTACTACTACTGCTATCATATTACTATATTATTATTACTATTATATTATTACTACTTATATTATATTGTTACTATATTATTACTGCAATTATTATATTTATACTGTATTATTATTATTATATTACTATATTATGATTATTACTACTACTACTATTATATTACTATATTAGTATTACTACTACTGCTATCATATTACTATATTATTATTACTACTATTATATTATTACTACTTATATTATATTGTTACTATATTATTACTGCAATTATTACATTTATACTGTATTATTATTATTATATTACTATATTATGATTATTACTACTACTACTATTATATTACTATATTAGTATTACTACTACTGCTATCATATTACTATATTATTATTACTACTATTATATTATTACTACTTATATTATATTGTTACTATATTATTACTGCAATTATTATATTTATACTGTATTATTATTATTATATTACTATATTATGATTATTACTACTACTACTATTATATTACTATATTAGTATTACTACTACTGCTATCATATTACTATATTATTATTACTACTATTATATTATTACTACTTATATTATATTGTTACTATATTATTACTGCAATTATTATATTTATACTGTATTATTATTATTATATTACTATATTATGATTATTACTACTATTATATTACTATATTAGTATTACTACTACTGCTATCATATTATTAGTACTACTACTATTATATTATTACTATATTATTACTGCAACTATTATTATATTTATACTGTATTAATATTACTATATTATTATTATTACTACTACAACTATTATTATATTATTGCTATATTATTATTATTATTACTATTATACTATTACTATATTACTACTACTATTATATTATTACTTTCATTATGTTATTTTGCACTGTTTATTTTATTTTGTTACTTTATTTATTTTGTGATGTAACTTTTCTGTTTTTTTGTATTTTATTTTGCTGCGTTGTATCTTTCGGGCTTTGCCACATGTTAGTAACCTGAGTCCCCTTTGGGGAGATGGTGGCGGGGTATAAATAAATAAATATTATTATTATTATTATTAGTAGTAGTAGTAGTAGTAGTATTAAGTGTGTGTGTGTGTGTTTTAGCATTGGCATATCTTTGGTCCTGATAGTCCCAGGTTTCGGCGGTGACCAGGGGAGCATTTGCACAGCTAAAGCTTGTGCGCCAGCTGCGCCCGTACCTTGGGAAGTCTGACTTGGCCACGGTAGTCCACGCTCTGGTTACATCCCGTTTAGACTACTGCAACGCTCTCTACGTGGGGTTGCCTTTGAAGACAGCTCGGAAGCTCCAACTAGTCCAACGCTCGGCAGCCATGATTTTAACAGTAGCGGAGCGCAGGGAGCATACAACCCCCCTGTTGCGCCAACTCCACTGGCTACCGATTTGCTACCGGGCTCAATTCAAAGTGCTGGCGTTGGCCTTTAAAGCCCTAAACGGTTCCGGCCCAAGCTACCTATCCGACCGCATCTCTGCCTATGAACCCACCAGGACTTTGAGATCTTCCGGGGAGACCCTGCTCTCGATCCCGCCTGCTTCTCAAGCTCGGCTGGCGGGGACGAGAGATAGGGCCTTCTCAGTGGTGGCTCCTCGGCTGTGGAACGCCCTTCCTACGGACATTAGACTAGCACCATCTCTAATGGTATTCCGCAAAAAGGTGAAGACCTGGATGTTTGTGCAGGCGTTTGAGTAATTTAGTGCAATCTGGTAATGGAACATAGGAATGGAACAAGGGACGACGAACCTGGACTACGCTTGGATGAGGAGAAGATTGGGTACGGTTGTTTTTCGTAATAATTGTGCATTGTAACTGCTTATTGGTAATTTATTGGTTAATGTGTTAAGTCAATTGTTATATGTTGTATGGAACCACTGCTGTTTCTACTGTTTTTACTGTTTGTGAACCGCCGTGAGTCGCCTTTGGGCTTGAGATACAGCGGTATAGAAGCAAAGTCAATAAATAAATAAATAAATAAATGCCTAGGTATATCAGTTTAACAACTGAGAAACCTAATTCCCTTGCACGAATACTTGACTGACAAGCCATATACCTGTATACTGAATACATGAAGGAGTCTGACCCATAAAGGGCGCATGGCACACTGCGTCAGGAGCAACATAGCTTGTCTCTCTCGGTTGTAAATCTGGACCAAAGACGGCTGGGAAGCAATACGGACGGAGCGACATATCCTCACCTTTGCTGCTGAGCTCCTCTTCGTCGTCGCTGAAGGCGGCCTCGGCGTTGTCGTAGCAGCTGTCCTCCTTGTCCGACATGTGGTTGTCCATCTCCATTGAGACCGGCTCCTCAATTTTGACTGCAAGGAGGGGCACAAAGGGGGGGGGGATCAGGGAGGAGGGCTCCCCAAAGGCTGACCGCCCCCCAAGACCTCAATCGACCTCTCTCCGACAACCTCCTCGAGGGCACGGAGGCGGGATGGGCCTGCCTTGGGGCGTAAATACCTTCGACGGGAGGCGAGGGGGAGCTGCAGAACTCGGGGAACTTCTCCCGCAGCATGGACCGCAGCTCCTTGTCCAGCTTGGGGTTGTCAAAGAGAGGCGCCAGGTGCCTATCAAGAGAAGAAGGGAGATGAAGGAGGCCCACAAAAAAGGATGAGTCTGGGTGGCCATCTGCCGGGAGTGATTAGATGGTGCTTTTCCAACATGGCAGGGGATGACTCTATGAAATCTGCTCCTCTATTATTATTATTATTATTATATTTATTTATATCCCACTTTCTCTCTCCTGCAGGAGGCTCAAAACCTCTCTACATAAAAACGTCATTTTCCTCTACGCTGACGATATTGCCATCACCGCTCAAGCAGGGAGCTTTGAAATGACTGAAAAGAAGCACTCCGAAGCTTTAGGCTATATTATTATTATTATTATTATTATTATTATTATTATTATTATTTCCCTCTATGCTGACGACATTGCCATCACTGCTCTAGCAGGGAGCTTTGAAACGATTGAACAGAAGCTCTCCAAAGCTTTAGGTTACATTATTATTATTATTATTATTATTATTATTATTATTATTATTTCCCTCTATGCTGATGACATTGCCATCACTGCTCTAGCAGGGAGCTTTGAAACGATTGAACAGAAGCTCTGCAAAGCTTTAGGTTACATTATTATTATTATTATTATTATTATTATTATTATTATTATTTCCCTCTATGCTGACGACATTGCCATCACTGCTCTAGCAGGGAGCTTTGAAACGATTGAACAGAAGCTCTCCGAAGCTTTAGGTTACATTATTATTATTATTATTATTTTCCTCTATGCTGACAACATGACCATCACCGCTCAAGCAGGGAGCTTTGAAACAATTGAACCGAAGCCCTCCGAAGCTTTAGGTTATATTACTATTAGTATTATTATTTTCCTCTATGCTGATGACATTGCCATCACCATTCAAGCAGGGAGCTTTGAAATGATTGGACAGAAGCTCTCCAAAGCTTTAGGTTATATTATTATTATTATTATTATTATTATTATTATTATTTCCCTCTATGCTGACGACACTGCCATCACCGCTCAAGCAAGGAGCTCTGAAATGATTGAAAAGAAGCACTCTGAAGCTTTAGGTTATATTATTATTATATTTATTTATATCCCACTTTATCTCTCCTGCAGGAGGCACAAAACAGCTCAACATAAAAAACCTTTTTCCTCTATGCTTATTATTATTATTATTATTATTATTATTATTATTTCCCTCTATGCTGACGACATTGCCATCACCACTCAAGCAGGGAGATTTGAAATGACTGAAAAGAAGCTCTCTGAAGCTTTAGGTTATATTATCATTATTATATTTATTTATATCCCACTGTATCTCTCCTGCAGGAGGCTCAAAACGTCTCAACATAAAAGCGTCATTTTCCTCTATGCTGACGAGATTGCCATCACCGCTCAAGCAGGGAGCTTTGAAAGGATTGAACAGAAGTTCTCTGAAGCTTTCGGTTATATAATAATAATAATTATTATTATTATTATTATTATATTTATTTATATCCCACTTTATCTCTCTTGCAGGAGACTCAAAACTGCTCAACATAAAACATCCTTTTCCTCTATGCTTATTATTATTATTATTATTATTATTATTATTATTTCCCTCTATGCTGACGACATTGCCATCACCACTCAAGCAGGGAGATTTAAAATGACTAAACAGAAGCTCTCCGAATCTTTAGCTGTATTATTATTATTACTATATTATTATTATTATTATTATTATTTATATCCCACTTTATCTCTCTTGCAGGAGGCTCAAAACATCTCAACATAAAAGCATAATTTTCCTCTATGCTGACGACACTGCCATCACTACTCAAGAAGGGAGCTTTGAAATGACTGAAAAGAAGCTCTCCAAAGCTTTAGGTTATATTATTATTATTATATTTATTTATATCCCAATTCATCATTTTTTCAGGAGGCTCAAAACAGCTCAACATAAAAGTGTCCTTTTTCTCTATGCTGACAACATTGCCATCACTGCTCAAGCAGGGAGCTTTGAAGTTGTAAGCCGCATCGAATCCCTCGGGAGATGCTAGCGGGGTACAAATAAAGTTATAATAATAATAATAATAATAATAATAATAATAATAATAAGTGATTGAACAGAAGTTCTCTGAAGCTTTCGGTTATATAATTATTATTATTATTATTATTATTATTATTATTATTATATTTATTTATATCCCACTTTATCTCTCCTGCAGGAGACTCAAAACAGCTCAACATAAAAACGTCATTTTCCTCTATGCTGATAATACTGCCATCACCCCTCAAGCAGGCAGCTTTGAAATGATTGAACAGAAGTTCTCAGAAGCTTTTGGTTATATAATAATAATAATAATAATTATTATTATTATATTTATTTATATCCCACTATCTCTCTTGCAGGAGACTCAAAACATCTCAACATAAAAGCACAATTTTCCTCTATGCTGACGACACTGCCATCACCGCTCAAGCAGGGAGCTTTGAAATGACTGAACAGAAGCTCTCCGAAGCTTTAGGTTATATTATTATTATTATTACATTTATTTATATCCCACTGTATCTCTCCTTCAGAAGGCTCAAAACATCTCAACATAAAAGCATAATTTTCCTCTATGCTGACGACACTGCCATCACCACTCAAGCAGGGAGCTTTGAAATGACTGAAAAGAAGCTCTCCAAAGCTTTAGGTTATATTATTATTATTATTATTATTTATATCCCGATTTATCTGTTTTTCAGGAGGCTCAAAACAGCTCAACATAAAAGCATAATTTTCCTCTATGCTGACGACACTGCCATCACCACTCAAGCAGGGAGCTTTGAAATGACTGAAAAGAAGCTCTCCAAAGCTTTTTGCTATATTATTATTATTATATTTATTTATATCCCACTTTATTTCTCCTGCAGGAGGCTTAAAACATCTCAACATAAAAGCGTCATTTTCATCTATGCTGATGAGACTGCCATCACCGCTCAAGCACTGAGCTTTGAAATGACTGAAAAGAAGCTCTCCGAAGCTTTAGGTTATATTATTATTATTATTATTATTATTATTATTATTATTTATATCCCGATTTATCTGTTTTTCAGGAGGCTCAAAACAGCTCAACATAAAAGCATAATTTTCCTCTATGCTGACGACATTGCCATCACCGCTCAAGTAGGGAGGTTTGAAATGATTGAACAGAAGCTCTCCGAAGCTTTAGGTCATATAATAATTATTATTATTATTTTATTTATTTACATCCCACTTTATCTCTCTTACAGGAGGCTCAAAACGTCACAAGATTAAAGCATAATTTTCCTCTGTGCTGACGACATTGCCATCACCACACAAGCAGGGAGATTTGAAATGACTGAAAAGAAGCTCTCTGAAGCTTTAGGTTGTATTATTATTATTATATTTATTTATATCCCAATTTATCTATTTTTCAGGAGGCTCAAAACAGATCAACATAAAAGCATAATTTTCCTATATGCTGACAACATTGCCATCACCGCTCAAGCAGGGAGGTTTGAAATGCTTGAACAGAAGCTCTCCGAAGCTTTAGGTTATATTATTATTATTATTATTATTATTATATTTATTTATATCCCAATTTATCTATTTTTCAGGAGGCTCAAAACAGCTCAACATAAAAGCATAATTTTCCTCTATGCTAATGACACTGCCATCAACGCTCAAGCAGGGAGCTTTGAAACGACTGAACAGAAGCTCTCTGAAGCTTTCGGATATATTATTATTATTTTTCCTCTATGCTGATGACATTGCCATCACTGCTCAAGCAGGGAGCTTTGAAATGATTGAACAGAAGCTCTCCGAAGCTTTAGGTTATATTACTATTATTATTATTATTATTATATTTATTTATATCCCACTTTATCTCTCTTGCAGGAGACTCAAAACTGCTCAACATAAAACATCCTTTTCCTCTATGCTTATTATTATTATTATTATTATTATTATTATTATTTCCCTCTATGCTGACGACATTGCCATCACCACTCAAGCAGGGAGATTTGAAATGACTGAACAGAAGCTCTCCGAATCTTTAGCTGTATTATTATTATTACTATATTATTATTTTTATTATTATTATTATTATTATTATTATTATTATTATTATTATTATTATTATCCCACTTTATCTCTCCTGCAGGGGACTCAAAACAGCTCAACATAAAAAACCTTTTTCCTCTATGCTTATTATTATTATTATTATTATTATTATTATTATTATTTCCCTCTATGTTGATGACATTGCCATCACCGCTCAAGCAGGGAGCTTTGAAAATATTGAACGGAAGCTCAATTAGGTTATATTATTATTTTATTATAAGGATTAGATTATATTATTATTATTATTATATTTATAATAATTAGGTTATATTATTAGGTTATATATAAATTAGGTTATATTATTATTATTATTAAATTTATTATTATAAATTAGGTTATATTATTATTATTATTATTATTATTATTATTATATTTATTTATATCCCACTTTATCTCTCCTGCAGGAGGCTCAAAACAGCTCAACATAAAGGCATAATTTTCCTCTATGCTGACGACACTGCCATCACCGCTCAAGCAGGGATCCTTGAAACGATTGAACCGAAGCCCTCCGAAGCTTTAGATTATATTGCTATTATTATTATTTTCCTCTATGCTGATGACATTGCCATCACCGCTCAAACAGAGAGCTTTGAAATGATTGAACCGGAGCCCTCCGAAGCTTTAGGTTATATTACTACTATTATTATTTTCCTCTATGCTGACGACACTGCCATCACCACTCAAACAGGGAGCTTTGAAATGATTGAACAGAAGCTTTCCGAAGCTTTAGGTTACATTATTATTATTACTATTATTATTATTATTATTATTATTATTAAATGACTTACGCCAGGACTCGCTTCTCTACGATGTGGGTGAGGGAGTTGAAGACGCCTTGCCTGACGTGAGTCTCCAGCGTGGGATAGAAATTGGGAATGATCTGCAAGGAACAAAAGGGGTGAGGAAGATCCAGAAAGGATCCTGTCTTCCAAAACAAAGAAATAACACACTCCAACGACAAATAAGACCCCATCGCACATATCCATACCCCAGGATGATGGGATATGGGTCAGGACCCCTGTTCATGGTGTTAGGTATTGGGAAGGAAGGTGGTCTTTCCCACTTCCAAGCTGTTTACAATCCGAGGGATGGAAAATCCACTGGGACCACAATACCCATTGGCCACAAGGAATGCTCACCCGGCACATGAAGTCCAGAAGAGTCGCGGTGATGGCCGGGTGGGGTTTCATGGAATGATGCATGACCAGGATGGCCGGCTCTGCAATGCCAAAGGAGGAAGACAAGGACTCAGACATGGTTGGATGGAGCAAACTGGAGGTGTGAATGAGTGATTGGGATCCATTTAAGGGGGAGATAGTCTGTAGTGAGGGAGCTTTGGAGAGTCCCAGGGTCAGTTGGGAAGAATGGGAGAGGAAAGGGAGGAAGAGAAGACGAAGAAGAAGAAGAAGAAGAAGAAGAGGAGGAGGAGGAGGAGGAGGAGGAGGAGGAGGAGGAGGAGGAGAAGGATGGAGAGAAGGAAGAGAGGGAAGGAGGAAGGAGGAATGGGAGGGAGAAAGGAGGGGGAAAAGGAACGAGAAGAGAGGAAGGAAAGAGAGAAAGAAGGAAGAAAGGAAGGAAAAAGGGTGGAAGGGAAGGAGGGATGGAAGGAGAAAGGGAGGGAGGGAAGGAAGAGAGAAGGAAAGAAGGAAGGAAGGAAGGAAGGATAAAGAGGGAGACATGGAAGGAAGGAGGAAAGGATGGAAGGGAGGAAGGAAAGAGGAAGGAAGGAGGAAGAGGGAGAAGGAAAGAGAAAAAGAGGGAGGGGTGGAGGAAGGAAGGAGGGAGAGAAGGAGGGAAGCCAAGAGAAAGATAGGGTGAGAGGGGAAGTAAGAAGGAAGGAAAGGCAAAGAGAGGGAGGAGAAGGGAAAATGGCAGGAAAGAGGGGAGGAGAAGTGGAGGGAGGGAGCAAAGGAAAGAGAGAAAGGAAGGAAGGAAATAAGGAAGGAAGGAAGGAAGGAAGGAAGGAAGGAAGGAGGAGAAGGGAAAAAGAAAGGAAATAGGAAGGGAGGAAGGAAGGAGAAGTGGAGGGAGGAAGAGATGAAGGAAGAAGAGAGAGAGGGAGGAAAGCAAAAAGAAAGGTAGGGAGGAATGGAGGGAGGAAGGAAGGAAAGAAAGAAAGAAGGAAGGAAAGGCAGAGGGAGGAGAAGTGAAAGGAGGGTAAGAAGGGAAAGGAGGAGAAGCAGAGGGAGGAAAACAAAGAGAAAGGGAAGGAGGAAAGAAGGGAGGGAGGAGAAGGAGAAAGGAAGGAAATGAAAAAGGAAAGAAGGAGATGAAGAGCAAAGGGAGGGAGGAGAAAGGAAGAAGAAAGGAAAGTAGGAAGGAGAAGGGGATGAAGGAGAAGTGGAGGGAGGGTGAGGAAGGAAGGAAGGAAACGTAGGGAGAGAGGGGAAGCAGGAAGGAAGGAAGGAAGGAAGGAGGAAGGAAGGACAAAGAGAGGGAGGAGAAGAGAAGACGAAAGGAAAGAGGGAAGGAGAAGTGGAGGGAGGGAGCGATGGAAAGAGAGAAAGGAAGGAAATAAAGAAGGAAGGAGGAGAAGGGGAAAAGAAAGTAGGAAGGAGACATGGAAGAAGAAGTGGAGGGAGGGGAAGTGATGAAGAAAAGGAAGAAGGAGCGGGAGAAGGAGGAAAGGGGAGGAAAGGAGGGAGGGAGGGGAAGGAGGAAGGAAGGAAAGTAGGAAGGAGAAGTGCAGGAAGGAGGAGTGGAGGGAGGAGGGGAAGAGATAAAGGAAGGAAGGAAGGAAGGAAGGAAGGAAGGAAGGAAGGAAGGAAGGAAAGAAGAAGAGGTGGAGGGAAGGGGAGGGAAGGCCCGCCATACCGATGTTCATGATGCTGTCCTTCTCCGGGTTGAAGAAGAGCCAGTCGTAAAACAAGGCAAGCTTGGCATTTGAAGCAGCAACATTGGACTAAAAGGGGGTGGCGGGGAAAGAGAGAGAGAGAGACACAAACACACATTTGAGACCTGGATTGTGGTTTCACCGGGTAGGACCCATAAGGCAGAGAGAGAGAGGCAACAGGGAGGCACCGGCACCCATTTCTGTTAAATTGGCATCACAACATTTCCCTCGAAATCTATTACTATACCGCATTTTGCAATGGGGTGTTACGGAACCGTATCACCTTCAGACACTTTTTTGGCTGTTGTTTTGAGAATTGAGGAATGGCTGGAATGCCTTTGGAAACATAGGAAAGGAAGACGGAACGGGTTCCACAGGGCGGGAGGTATTAGGACTCCTTCTTCCCTATCTCAGGTATTAAGAAATCGTGTTTCTCAAAGGCACGGGGCCCGAACCAGAGTTTCCTGGTGAGTTTCCAGGAAACGAGAGGGAAAAAAAGGTTCGGGTAAACAGATTGAGAATAATCCTTGCTTGCTGTCGCTTCACCGTCCATTTGTGACGGTACTTCCTCATTCTTTGCGTGCTTGCTGGAGATTTTTATGGCATCGCAAATTGGTTAAATTAGCCTCCCCACATAAGTGGTACCTTATGCAGCTGACTCCCAGCCAGCTGCACCACAGTCCCGGTGGTATCACATGAAAACAATCATATGAAAACTGACTGGTACAACCTGGGGGTCACAACCAGACACAATTATGGCATCATAAATTGGTTAAATTAGCCTCCCCGCATAAGTGGTACCTAGATTTCCTACTTGACAGATGCAACTGTATTTCGGGCTACAAAGGTCGACAGCAAGCTACACAATGGTCGGAAGCTCACTCCGACCCGGGCTGGCTTCCAACTCATGACCTTTCGGTCCGTAATGATCTAATGCAGCTGACTCCCAGCCAGCTGCACCACAGTCCCGGTGGTATCACATGAAAACAATCATATGAAAACTGACTGGTACAACCTGGGGGTCACAACCAGACACAATTACGGCATCATAAATTGGTTAAATTATCCTCCCTGCATAAGTGGTACCTACATTTCCTATGTGACAGATGCAACTGTCTTTCAGGATGCAAAGGTTGACAGCAAGCTACACAATGGTCGGAAGCTCACTCCGACCCAGGCTGGCTTCCAACTCATGACCTTTAGGTCCATAGTGATCTAATGCCACTGGCTCCCAGCCAGCTGCACCACAGTCCCAGTGGTATCACATGAAAACAATCATATGAAAACTGACTGGTACAACCTGGGGGTCACAACCAGACACAATTACGGCATCATAAATTGGTTAAATTAGCCTCCCCGCATAAGTGGTACCTAAATTTCCTATGTGACGGATGCAACAATCTTTCAGGCTGCAAAGGTCGACAGCAAGCTACACAATGGTCGGAAGCTCACTCCGACCCGGGCTGTTTTCGAACTCATGACCTTTCGGTCGATAGTGATCTAATGCCACTGACTCCCAGCCAGCTGCACCACAGTCCCAGTGGTATCACATGAAAACGATCATATGAAAACTGACTGGCACAACCTGGGGGTCACAACTAGACACAATTACGGCATCTGATCTTACGCTTGGTTTTTCTGCTGCTGAATACGCATTCCCAGTGTGGAATACATCTCACCACATTAAAAAAGTGGGCACGGCTCTTACAAGACGTGCCGCGTTATCACAGGATGTCTATGCCCCACATCACTGGAGAAATTATATTGTTTAGCCGGTATTGCACCACCTGACATCACTACGGACCTTTCGGTCCGTAGTGATCTAATGCAGCTGACTCCCAGCCAGCTGCACCACAGTCCCGGTGGTATCACATGAAAATAATCATATGAAAACTGACTGGCACAACCTGGGGGTCACAACTAGACACAATTACGGCATCTGATCTTACGCTTGGTTTTTCTGCTGTTGAATACGCACGCCCAGTGTGGAATACATCTCACCACATTAAAACAGTGGGCATGGCTCTTACGAGACGTGCCGTGTTACCACAGGATGTCTATGCCCCACATCACTGGAGAAATTATATTGTTTAGCCGGTATTGCACCACCTGACATCACTACGGACCTTTCGGTCTGTAGTGATCTAATGCAGCTGACTCCCAGCCAGCTGCACCACAGTCCCGGTGGTATCACATGAAAACAATCATATGAAAACTGACTGGCACAACCTGGGGGTCACAACCAGACACAATTACGGCATCATAAATTCACCAATAGTGAAAGGACCAAGGCTGCGATATCTCTGGCCCATCCTTTCTTTGGTTATCATCTAGCACGCCAACACCTTAAATCAATAAATAGTTTCCTACGATCTATGGAGATACTCTCAGAAACACCTCAGCAAGCAAGAGTCCAAAAGCGGCAGGCCAAAACCCAGCTGATGCCAAATGATACAAAGTGGAGTCCACGACATGCGAGTGTGACGGAAAGCAAACAACAGACCGCTCATTACAATGCAACCCGAGCCCTGCCACGTACACAATGGAGGGGGTCTTGCTTGGACGCAAGGGGCGCGCTTCCCAAAACGGCCTTACCGTGCAGGTGGTGAGGAGCCAGCCAATGATGGCCCATCGCGGGAGGATGTCGGAGCTGAGCACCTCGTTGGAGGGGTGGACCACGCCGCAGATGTAGCGGATGAGGTCGCAGCGCAAGGACTGGCTGTCCGGCGTGGAGAGGTACTGCCGCTGGAACCAGTCCTGGTAGCGCTTCTGCTGCCCAAAGCGCACCTGCGGGGAGGGAAGCCATCTTGAGGTCCGGGGTCAAAGCAAACCCCCAGGCCGAGCGGCTGCTCTTAAGCTGGGACGCTCTCAAGTCAGATCGGCAAAGGGGAAACTCACCCGAGACGTCATGAAGAGGAGCTTGGTCTCCATATCCGGCGTAAGGCGACACGCCAGGAACTTCCGCGACGTCCGCGACTGCAGCAACTGCAACACCCCTGCGGGCATGGCGGAGAAAGAAAAAGCATATTATTAGTATTATCATCATTATTATTATTACTAGCCGTCCCTTGCGACATGTTGCTGTGGCCCAGTCTGTGTATATGTGTGCTATTATTATTATTATAATTTTCCTCTATGCTGACGACACCAACATCACCGCTCAAGCAGAGAGTGTATGTTTGTGTGTATTTGTGTATATATGTGGTTTTGCGCGCGTGTGTATCTATGCGTATATATGTGTGTGTATATGTGTATATATGTGGTTTTGCAATGTATTTTTTTGTTTTTTGGCTTTTTAAGTCTCTTCTGCTGTTTTCATGAGTGATGGTCACTCGTTGGCCTGAGAGGTGTCTTGTGTCCAAATTTGGTGTCAATTCGTCCAGTGGTTTTTGAGTTGTGTTAATCCCACAAACAAACATTACATTTTTATACATATAGATTACTAGCCGACCCCTGCCACACGTTGCTGTGGCCCAGTCGGTGTATATGTTTTGTGTGTGTATATATATGTGTTTATGTGTGTGTAAATATTTGCGTATATGTGTTTGCATATATATATATAGATATAAAAATATAGAGATAGATGGGTGTATATGTGTGTATGTGCATATGTGTGTATACGTTTGTATATATTTGTGTATTTCTGTGTTGTTGTAGGTTTTTTCGGGTTATATGGCCAAAAAAACCTACAACAACCCAGTGATTCCGGCCATGAAAAGCCTTCGACAATACATTGTGTGTTTCTGTGTTTATATGTGTATATGAATATTGTGTATATGTGTCTGCTTGTGTACATATGTGTGCATGTATGTCTATATGTATATGTGTGTATATCTATTAAAAGTAAAAATGTAATGTTTGTTCGTGGGAACCCTAAAAACACACAAAAATGCAGCAGTACGGACTTAAAACCCCCCAAAATAAACTATATACACATACACTTATATACATATACACATGCACACATACATAAGTCTATATGTATATGTGTGTATGTGCGCATGTGTATATGTATGTGTATATTTGTGTGTGGTTGTGTATATATATATATATGTGTGTGTGTGTGGTTGTGTGTGTGTATATATATATATATATATATATATATAGTGTGTCTGTATGTATGTATGTGTGCATGTGTATATGTATATGAGTGTATGTGTAGATTTGGGGGTTTTAAGTCTCTTCTGCTGGTTTTTTGTGTGTGTTTTTAGGGGTGATGGACACTCATTTGCCTGAGAGGTGTCTTGTGTCCAAATTCGGTGTCACTTTGTCCAGTGGTTTTTGAGTTATGTTAATCCCACAAATGAACATTTTTATTTATATAGATGATGATTATTATTATTATTATTTGAAACACAACAAGATGAGTCCACAGCAAACAAGGTCACTGCGCCCAGTGTGCCAATCACCACTGGGACCACCTTTATTGGCTTGTTCTAATATTTTCACAAACCCCAATGACATCTAGACATTTGATGATCCAACAATGTTGCAGTGAGTCAAATGCTTTATTATTATTATTATTATTATTATTATTATTATTTGAAACACAACAAGGTGAGTCCAAAGCAAACAAGGTCACTATGCCCAGTGTGCCAATCACCACTTGGACCACCTTTATTGGCTTGTTCTAATATTTTCACAAACCCCAATGACATCTAGACATTTGATGACCCAACAATGGTGCAGTGAGTCAAATGCTTTATTATTATTATTATTATTATTATTATTATTATTTGAAACACAACAAGGTGAGTCCAAAGCAAACAAGGTCACTATGCCCAGTGTGCCAATCACCACTTGGACCACCTTTACTGGCTTGTTGTAATATTTTCACAAACCCCAATGACATCTAGACATTTGATGATCCAACAATGGTGCAGTGAGTCAAATGCTTTATTATTATTATTATTATTATTATTATAAACACAACAAGATGAGTCCACAGCAAACAAAGTCACTTCGGCCAAGTGTGCCAATGACATCTAGACATTTGATGATCCAACAATGTTGCAGTGAGTCAAATGCTTTATTATTATTATTATTATTATTATTATTATTATTATTATTATAAACACAACAAGATGAGTCCACAGCAAACAAGGTCACTACGCCTAGTGTGCCGATCACCACTTGGACCACCTTTACTGGCTTGTTGTAATATTTTCACAAACCCCAATGACATCTAGACACTTGATGATCCAACAATGTTGCAGTGAGTCAAATGCTTTATTATTATTATTATTATTATTATTATTTGAAACACAACAAGATTAGTCCACAGCAAACAAGGTCACTACGCCCAGTGTGCCAATCACCACTGGGACCACCTTTACCGGCTTGTTCTAATATTTTCACAAACCCCAATGACATCTAGACATTTGATGATCCAACAATGGTGCAGTGAGTCAAATGCTTTATCATTATTATTATTATTATTATTATTATTATTATTATTAGAAACACAACAAGATTAGTCCACAGCAAACAAGGTCACTCTGCTCGCTGTTGCATTGGATCACATGTCGGAGACTTCCCAAGTGTCTAGGACTGTGTGATGTATCGACGAATAATGCATACAGATCTGAGTAGGGTGGCCTTTTGCAGCTGGTAGATGGTGATATTATTTGTTCCTACCTGTGAACTGTGGGCTGAGGGCCTGCGGGTTGTGGACGAGGTCCTTCCAGAGCAGCTCGAACTCGGGGATGCGGGCCACGTTCTGGAGGAGCCGTACCAGGTCCCTCCCAATCATGAAGCAGTCCATGAACTGGAGGGGGAGACAAAAGGAGGACGAGAGGGATGATGTAGTGAATTCCCTACCTGTTAGGCTAGGCAAAGTAGGCCCAGGAAGTTCGGCAGCCATTTTGGAAATCACTTTTAGTTACTCATTTCCTGTTTAGAAAGAGCAGCTTTGGAGGGAAATGAGGGAGGACTGTAATTGGCTGAGTGAGAGTGGGCGGAGCCTAACTTGGCAAAAGAAAAAAATTGTCGGGAAGATTGAACCTGGGTGTCAAAGGGAGAAGGTGTGGTGTAGAGGGTTAGTGAGAAAGGTGAGAGATTGGTCTGTTGGCTAGCGGAGTTAGCTAGTGAGAATTCTATAGCGATTAGGAAAATATCTGGTAGAGGAGGGAAGAGATAGATCCAGGAGAGGACTATCTGTGCTGGGGTAGAATTACTTTCAGAGAGCAATCCTGTCAGTATTTCTGTGGAGAGAGAGAGAAGTGTAACTAAGTATGACCTGCTTTATTTAACTGCACACTTTTAAGGCAATACTAAGCTTTATACCTGAACTGTTCCTGTTCTCTTAAATAAACATCATTGTTCTGTTGTTCACAACAACTGCCTCACGTGTGCCTCTGTGGGTGAAGTTTTAGAAACAGATTCCTGCAGTAACCAAGAGCTTAATGGTGGCAGCGTATATTCTAAAGAACCATCTTTTAGTGTTGCCTCAGAAGACAATACTCTGAAACAGCTAAGCTTTATACCTGAATTGTTCCTGTTCTCTTAAATAAACATCCTTGTTCTGTTGTTCACAACAACTGCCTCATGTGTGCCTCTGTGGGAGACGTTTTGGAAGCAGATTCCTGCAGTAATCAAGTTTAATGGTGGCAGCATATATTCTAAAGAACCACCTTTTAGTGTTACCTCAGAAGACAATACTCTGAAACAGCTATGCTTTATACCCGAATTGTTCCTGTTCTCTTAAATAAACATCATTGTTCTGCTGTTCACAACAACTGCCTCACGTGTGCTTCTGTGGGTGAAGTTTTAGAGGCACATTCCTGCAGTAACCAAGAGCTTAATGGTGGCAGCGTATATTCTAAAGAACCACCATTTAGTGTTACCTCAGAAGACAATACTCTGAAACAGCTACGTTTTATACCTGAATTGTTCCTGTTCTCTTAAATAAACATCATTGTTCTGTTGTTCACTACAACTGCCTCACGTGTGCCTCTGTGGGTGAAGTTTTAGAAACAGATTCCTGTAGTAACCAAGAGCTTAATGGTGGCAGCGTATATTTTAAAGAACCACATTTTAGTGTTACCTCATAAGACAATACTCTGAAACAGCTATGCTTTACACCTGAATTGTTCCTGTTCTCTTAAATAAACATCCTTGTTCTGTTGTTCACAACAACTGCCTCACGTGTGCCTCTATGGGTGAAGTTTTAAAAACAGATTCCTGCAGTAATCAAGAGCCTAATGGTGGCAGCATATATTCTAAAGAACCACATTTTAGTGTTACCTCAGAAGACAATACTCTGAAACAGCTACGCTTTATACCTGAATTGTTCCTGTTCTCTTAAATAAACATCATTGTTCTGCTGTTCACAACAACTGCCTCACGTGTGCTTCTGTGGGTGAAGTTTTAGAGGCACATTCCTGCAGTAACCAAGAGCTTAATGGTGGCAGCGTATATTCTAAAGAACCACCATTTAGTGTTACCTCAGAAGACAATACTCTGAAACAGCTACGTTTTATACCTGAATTGTTCCTGTTCTCTTAAATAAACATCATTGTTCTGTTGTTCACTACAACTGCCTCACGTGTGCCTCTGTGGGTGAAGTTTTAGAAACAGATTCCTGTAGTAACCAAGAGCTTAATGGTGGCAGCGTATATTTTAAAGAACCACATTTTAGTGTTACCTCATAAGACAATACTCTGAAACAGCTATGCTTTACACCTGAATTGTTCCTGTTCTCTTAAATAAACATCCTTGTTCTGTTGTTCACAACAACTGCCTCACGTGTGCCTCTATGGGTGAAGTTTTAAAAACAGATTCCTGCAGTAATCAAGAGCCTAATGGTGGCAGCATATATTCTAAAGAACCACATTTTAGTGTTACCTCAGAAGACAATACTCTGAAACAGCTACGCTTTATACCTGAATTGTTCCTGTTCTCTTAAATAAACATCATTGTTCTGTTGTTCACTACAACTGCCTCACGTGTGCCTCTGTGGGTCAAGTTTTAGAAGCAGTAATCAAGAGCTTAATGGTGGCAGCGTATATTCTAAAGAACCACCTTTTAGTGTTGCCTCAGAACACAAGCCTGAAGGCTGATCCAACACACTCTTGCCTAAGATACCTCAAGTAAGCCAAGGGCTTATCAGCGCTTCTAAGTTGGTGGGTGCCGGGGAGGGCTTTCAGAAGAAAGTCCCGGCTTTCCTTTCAGCTTTTGTGTTTGGGGTTTTTATTCTTCCCCAAATAAGCTTTCACAATCCTTTATAGATGACCAAGACGCACAACACAAGACGTTCTCCCTTGTTGCCCAACTGCCCAAAGGTCTGGGAAGCCCGGAGAGGAGAAGGCCGCTCCCTTTGAAGGCAGCGGGTTCAAAAGAAGCCCCAAGGTCAGCTCAGCCAGGATTGATTTGAGGGTTTCAATGGCCGCCCCCCAGCAGGACAAATAAACAAGCCGGGGCCATAAATCCCGAGGCAAACTCCGAGGCCAAGGCTGGACGGAATGGCCTTTTGTATCCCTTAAATCTTTTGCCATCATCTAGAGTTCTAAAAGTCGCAGGACGCAGGTTTGTTTGTCTGCCTGTTGCTAGGTGAAGTGGCCCTCTGGGAAGGAAAGGTGAGGAGAAGAAAGGAAAGAAAAGAAGGAAAAGGTAGGGAAGGAAGAAGAGATAAAGGGAGGAAGAGAGGAAAGAAAGAAAGAAAAAAGGAGAGAAGGAAGGAAGGAAGGAAAAAGAGAAAAGAAGGGGAAAGAAAGAAAAAAGGAAGGGGGAAAGGAAGAATAAAGAAAGGGGAAAGCAAGGTATGAGGGGAGAGAAGGGAAAAAAGAAAGGAAGGAAGAAGGGGTGGAGGGAAGGAAGAGAGAAAAAGAAGGGAAAAGGAAGGAAGGAAAAGTAGAGAAAAAAGAAAGGAAAAAGAATATAAAGGAACAGAAAAGAAAGGCAAAGAAAGGAAAGAAGAAAGAAAAAGGGACAGAAAAAAAGGAAAGAAGGGAAGAGAAAGGAAGAAGGGAGGAAAAGAAAGAAAAGTGGGGAAGGCGTATGAGGAAAAGCAAGGGAAGAAGGAAGGAAAGGGAGAAAAACGGGAGGGAAGAGAGAAAAAGAAGGGAAGAGGGAGGGAGGGAGGGAGGGAGGGAGGAAGGAA